TGCTGGGGGCTCAAAGCGGACAATATCGTGCTACGGTGGAGTCGGGCCTTGGAAGTGGTCCCGCGCGAGCCGGGATGTGACAAAATTATAATGAAATAAAATTAATACATTAAAAATTAGGAAGAAAAAGATAGAAAAAAATTAAAATATAATTAATAAATGAGGTTATTAATGTATTAAGGGACTAAAATTAGATTTTGATCTTACTCATGGTTTTAATCTAAAAGTCATCTTTGCCAAAGATTAAAATGAAGTTTTCTATAAAAAAATATTGACCAAAACGTCTTCGTTTTTTAAGTTTATGAACAATTATTGTAGTGTACAAAACATGGTAATAATTTTCTACAATTTAGTTCAATATCTTAGTGGATAAGGTGTTGACTTTGTACTCATGCATCCATAGGTTTGAAACTTTTTCACCCTTTAAATTATTGTAATAGTTTCGAATTATTTCTCCTCCCCAATTTATTGTAACATTTTCGAACCATTTCCCCTTCTCTTAATAATACCAATTTTATTAAATAATAATAATAATAATAATAATAATAATAATCTACAATGTCCTTCTCGAATCCACATTATTATAAGGGGCGGAATGTTAAGGGACTCTCTCAAGGGCTATCCATTAACTTTTTGTCATCTCACAGTTTAATGTCAATTCTCGTCTTAACATTATAAAACATTGTGCAAAAAACATGAGGTGACAGATAGTCTACGAAGAGTCGCACTTTTGAGGAAGTCCCATTAGCAATTCTCTTTAAAGGGACCAAGGAGAAAAAGGTTCACACAGTATAGACTTTTCAATGTACCCGGAACACAAGGTTGTACATCACATGTTATTATATAATTGGAGGAATTTTTTTTCAAATGTCCCTCTAATTACATAACGACATGTATTGTATGTATATGAGCCCGTGCTCCGGGCACATTGAAGAATCTCTCCACACAACAAGTGGCAGATTCAAGAACTTTTCTTCTCGGAAACAAGATGAAACAAGTACATCATCTTGTGCAATTTCCCTTGGCTTCCCAATCCATGTCGGCCTTTTAAGGCATTCTGTTGAACATCGAACTGCATGCAATCGTGCTTAGGATTGCATTAGGACTGCATGCAATCATCTTATGGTAAGTCCTATTTAATGTTGCGAGTATATATATAGAGAAACATCGATCTGTTATCCTTAATGTGAAGTAGAGTTTAAGATCTTTATTTTATATTCTAACTGAGGAAAGTTAGTAATCTTCTTAATTGGTATTGTTCTTTATCTTCTTCCATTTCGTTCTTATTATGCAATTTGATCCAATGAAGAATATTTTTTTTTATCTTTTTAGGTAACTTTTAAAGATTATATCTTTAAAAAAAATCAACTAATTGGGAATCATAAGTTCAAGAAGAAACTAAAAGGGAAGGTAACAACTAACAAGACATATGCCATATGTATAATGCCTCAAAAAGGATTCTCATCATGTCCCATGATCAGTCCAATATTATTTGGAGTAGAATTCTTTATCTTCCTATTTCCATCTTTTTCCATTCTCTCCTCTCACATTTTGTTTTTTGTCTTTTTGTTTCTATAAAAAATCAATATAAGATGTAAATGTAGCTCAATCATAACCGTTCAAATAAGAAAAAAATAAAAATGAGAGAGATTTGGAGGAGAAAGAATCATCTTCCATGTTAATTAGCTTTGTGTGTGCATACGAGAGAGAGAGAGAGAGAGAGAGAGAGAGAGAGAGAGAGAGGTGGGTTGGTGGCTTCATACTCGGGCTTGTTGAGTTGACGGGCCAAGCAAATGGCCGAGAGTGGCCCTAGTGGGTTGGTCCACCGTTCTCCCACGCGAGAGAGGTTGCAGAAAAAAATAAACAAATTAGACCCCACTGTGCACGATAATCATATTGTTTCACCTTGGTTGCCCTCTAAATTCCCAGATGATGTAATTTTTGGCACCAGAAATAGGCAGCTGTTAAATCCAGTCCCCTCTCTGTAGGCAACACTTTGCTCACTTTTGTGGTGCTCCCTCTCTCTTCTGTGTCTGCATATTTTATCTATATATACCTATCCGTCAGCCATGACAAAACCCTAGCTACTATTGGTTACTGCATGTGTAGATATAGACTGGGCAAAAACACAAAAACTTTGGAAAAAAAAAGTAAGAAAAACCATTGTAGCAGCCATGGATGCATGTTCATGTGAATCATGTCTTTTGCTTTCTCTCTTTATTCTTTTGTTGTCTTCTTTTAATGGGTAGGACCCGAAGTTTTCAAATTGTATTTGTTGTCTGTGGGATTTATATTTTGATTTATCATGAGGTTGTGACTTGTGATAAAAAAAAATAAAAATAAAAAAAAGAAGTATGTTTGGTCATGGATAGGAGCTATACATAGGGCCTACTTATGGGAAATTATTTGGTACATTTTAGGTGATTCCTTTGTCTTTGTTCATTAACATTTTTGCTCGGGTATCGCAGTGTCACTTCTTATTAGCGAAAGAATTTTAGGTCGTGATGCATGATCATGTATAATGTTTGACTACTTAATATCAATAAATCTATAAACATATTATTGATTATCAACATATTATTTATATTCTTGATATTTCAATTACATCATATCATTATGTTTGTTAGTAGAAGTTCAATTAGATGGAAAGTAAATCTTGATATAACATCTTATTGGGTGGTCAGATAAAAAACTTGGTGAGGCCACATGAAGATATGCAAAAGCAAATATTGCTCATCTTGAAAAGCATTTCAAACTAATGTCATCACCACTAATTGTACGAAGTTTTGAATCTACACACAATGGATTGTGCTATTTCCACCTTCCTAATGAAAAGTTAGAACACGAGGTTAGGTTCACGTTTAGCAGATGGTTTTCTTGGAACGTTCCTTAATCACACTTGATGGTCTTATCCAATTAGCTTTGGAATTTAGAAGCAGAATGGAAGTTTGATGTAGTGGGGAAGCACCTAAACCATGCATAGTTAAATAATTGTGATTAATAAAGGTAAGGATAGGATCACAGGGAGCTGAACTCTGTTTTTAAATGCAAATCATTCAGAAGATTTGTCTGCAAGTTGCTGTCTGGCTCTGAGATTTGGCAACACCACTTTTTTAATTGATCTAATCTTCTTTTGGCATTCATCTTCTCTATAAAAAAAAAATTGACAAGTAGGTGAGGAAGGATAAATTTGTCAGGAAATACAACTCTGTGCATTAAGTATCATAATGTAAATTATTAAAATATATTTTTAAGTATCAAAAAACTTATATCTTATAGCATTTGGCGTATTAACCGTGTTACTGGCCTCTCCTGAAATGGCATTACTTGATACGTCATGAAAGAATAATGATGAACTTGTGAACTTGGTTGGAAGAGGAACACTGAACCTTCAAATCATATATAACATGTGGTGGAAGTTAGATCATATAAGTGGTTTTGTATCCTATCAAAAATTCACAGCAGGTGTATATGAATTATAAAATATCAATAGTTGTCTATACAGTACAAGTGCCCTCTTTGGTTAAGTGCCATTTAGTTCCCTTCCAATCACCATAAAGTCTGCACTTCTTGCTTAAGAAACAAAAAGTTTGACCTAAGTAGAATTAATGTGAATCTGTTTTTCGTTATACTTTTATCCAAGAGCACCAGCTTTTGGTTATGGAAATTTGTTTAGTTAATAATCCTGCTTGGTTTAAGTGATTAAAAGTATTTATGTCTACAGAGATGTCACATCTTTCATACGATATGATGAGAAGAAAATCATTATGCAAGAGCATAAAAGTTTGCCATAACATGCAAATAACATAAACAAAGGAAAGAGGGTTGAAAAGCCAAGCACTATTCAGTACCATGTTGCCAAAGCTCACTCAAGAATCTGCAAAAGATGTGCTCTTGGCCAGGTTTTTTTTTTTTTTTTTCGAACAAAATATATTATCTACACTAAAGGAGAAATTGTGAGATTAACCTCATAATGGGCTAATAATAATGTGATTCAAATTCGTATTTGACGAGAATTGAACTTAAAACATTTCACTTACAAACTCAATAGTAATCTAATATTTAAAGAAAATGGATGGGAGGATATTTAGGTATTTGATGCGAACAATTTTAGATAATTTAGTAATAATTCACGTTGATGGGTCTTCAATCCAAAGGTTGAAGTGCTCAGTGAGTCATCCAAATTGAACAAATAAAACACACAAATTAATTTAGTCATCACAAACTGAGTTTAATTTTAGTCATTTACCTTTTAAACTGACCTTCATTGCGTCATCACATAAAATGTTAGTGACTAATTAAATTGACTTCAACCCCATTTCTCAAAGGTTTTTCCTCCTCTTCCAAACATTCCACGCCATAATTATTACTCCCCCACATCATAAACTTTTTTTCTCTTCTAATAACTATCATATATATATATATATATATGTATATGTATATATATGATGCCAAATCATTATCCAAATCTACAAACGCATGCTCATGCACATGAATCTCATGTATATAAACATATACGATAAATGTTAAGGAGACTCTTAAAGTGGAATTTTTTCATAAACTTTATGCTACCGATCACAATTAAACATCAATCATGTGACAATATTATAAAATATTATGCTAAAATTATGAGATGGCAAAGAATTGATAGAAAGTTTTCTCTTTGAAAGAATCTCATTAACATTTCTCAACACATAAACATCTTGATTCGAATCTCTCTTTTTATATATCCGACTGCTTAGTTGAATCTCCCTCCCTCAGTTACGCTCGAATTATTAATTCACAGTAACATTGTCTTCTAATACCACCACCGATAAGCATGGTGAAATATGATCCATGTTAAGATGCATATATATCTCTTCCTCCACATACATTAGACACATTTTCCTGTCCCGTTTCAATAATTGTCCACGCTTGCTTATGTAAGCCCCTGAAACTGTTGCTCTTTTATTTGTTGCTAAACCTGGCCCACTTCCCTTCCCTCTATAAAACCCCTCCCACTCTTCATGCTGTCATCCCCTGCCTTGCCCACCAAAGCACAAGTCACAGCCCCTTCAACTGCAAGTCCAAAGAAACCTTAAGCAAAATAACTCCGAGCTTTGGGAACCATGCTTCCAGTTGAGATCATTTCAGGACTCCACTACTTTGAACCTGAAATCCCACTTCCAAATCCCTCTGACTTTGCCTTCACGCAGAACCAAATTCCCTCCCTCCATTTCAACACTTTGTTCAACAACTTATCCCATCAAATCCCTCCTCCTATAGGCCATGACTTCACTCAACAATCCTCCAGCCTCAGCAACAACTCCAGTACCTCTGATGACGCCGAAGAACATCACCACCTCAGAGTCATCGACGAGAGGAAGCACAGGAGAATGATATCCAACAGAGAATCAGCCCGTAGATCGAGAATGAGGAAACAGAAGCACCTCGACGAGCTCTGGTTGCAGGTGGTCCGGCTGAGGAATGAGAACCACAGCCTGATAGACAGGTTGAACAACCTTTCGGAGTCCCACGACAGGGTTGTGGAGGAGAATGCTAGGCTCAAGGAAGAAGCTTGTGACCTTCGCCAAATGCTCACAAACCTGCAGATTGGCAGCCCTTACAATATAAATGCTTCTACCTTCAGAGAGCTGGAGGGAGAGGTGCCCTGCAACACGGCTCATCTCAGAGCCGAGTCGTCGAACCAATCCATCGCTGCATCGGCGGATTTGCTCCATTAAGATAGATGAGGATCACTGTTCTCCTGCCATTGTAACTTAGCCTACTTTATGTCCTTTTGTTTACTCTAAATGCTTTCAGTGTTTTTTATCCTTCAAAGCACTTTGCCACCATCCTATCTCAACTTGGCTAATAGAGAGTCTTTATCGTATTAAAGTCGATGCACGCGAACTTGGCGAGAGAGATAGAGAGAAGAGGACGTATTATATATCGCTGGTTACAAGCAAGAGTTTGCGCTTCTCGCCGCGTACACATCTGTAAAACGTACTTGCAGGTCATAATTATTGAAATGATTTTTCTTTGTAGCCCATCAAAGAAGTTGGTTGCTGAAGAATCAACAGCCCTCTTGCTGAGAGCCAATCATGGCTGGACATGTGTCTAAATTGTGATTTTTTTATCACAACTTGGACAAATGTCATGCTGTAATAAGCTCTCAACATGAGGGGCTGCTGATTCTTTCAGCAGTGAAGTTAAATCATTCATATCATCACTTTATCTTTTTATTTTTTGATACTTTAACGAAAAGCTCCTGCACTGTTCACTTTAATGAAAAATCATATTTTTACACTAAAAAGTCAATTCTAGTATTATTCACTTTATCTTTTATTTTGTCCTTATCGTTAAAATTCAAAATTTTTTAACCCTTTTCATTAGTTTTTTTTTTTTTTTTTCCCTAGTTTGACAACTGAGAACCCCACCAACCACATGAAAAATGAAATACACAAGACATTGCAGATTTAGAAAGATCAGAACAAAAGGGTTACTAGTTGGTCCTTACTAATCTACAAAATTGAAAATCTCCCATCACCGCTATAAGCAAAAAATAGATACTATCCAATGTACTAAACTCAGGAAAAAAAGCGTACAAGGATCAATTCGGGGAGAACAGTCAGTAACTTTGTGGGAACAATCTGAGTGAGTCGGAGACTAGCAGCGGGAACAGGAGAAAGACAAGAAATGGTGGAGGTGGTGGAGGTGGTGGTGGTGCTAGTGGTGGCTCATCATACAAAAATGCATGACTACAATGCGAAAACTAAACATTTGAAAAGGTCTATCCACTAGCTAGCAAATTACACCCCTCTCAGTAATGTTTTTGTTTTTAACTTTTTATTGTGACCTATCTCTGTTGTCTGGCTTTTTTCAGCCAAACCAAGCTTCCATCTTTGCTTTCGTGAACGAATTCGAAGGTCCTACCAAGAAAGCCGACGCGGAGGGTAACAGTGGAGAAATTATCTATTTAAATCATATTTTGTACCTATATAATATGATTGTTGATGATTAGATTATTACTTAAGTGTTGAATCACATGTTTATTTCTTATTAGTGAATGTGAAGTGATTATTGATGATTGGGTTATTACTAAATGTTGATTAATGTGTGTTTATTTCTTATTGGTGACACATCACATAATTTACAAATTTAATCTAGAAAGTTGGTATACCTAGCATTACACCGACGCTTCAGGGGTTGCTTCAAGGGTAGATTTACCTTTTTCTTCTGGTACTGTTGGAAGCACACACACATGCATTTGTCATATATAATGCAGCATTACCAAGTCCCACCATAAGTTATGCCTCACATTCTAGCCAGGCCCCTCCCTTCAAAGTATGTGTGATCACATTTCCATGATATCGTCAGAAAATAAGCACCCATACATATATATTTAGTCATGATGCAAATCCTAGTATTAATAAGCAACTTGACCTACATCTTAGTCTCGCTCAACGTCATTTGTACCGTTTTATACAATAATATGTCACGTGATGATGCAGAAGAAAACAAATGAGTTTATATATACAACTGGTGACACCTAAAAATCCTCCGTTTGTCTATATTTTTGGATGACTTTGACAATATTTTCATCATATAATTTTTATAAATCACAATTAAGACTACAAAAATATGTCAAACCAAATCTCTCCACAAAACCCTAACTTAAACGTCAACAGGGCTACCTCATATTCCTACTAAGAGTTGGACCATCTTTTCTTATGGATGAAAGAAACGGCAGAGACCCCCTCTTGTGGTCATCTTTTGGATGGGTCATTCTGTCAAATATCTGCTTGGAGATTTTTGACCTTCACACATAGATATGGAACTATGGAAGTGAGATAAAACCAAAGATCAAGTGCAGAGATAATAATTAAGGTTGACGAATCGAATAAAATTTTCAAAGTGCTAGTAACAGAATTCAATATACTAAATGTCATGATATAAGATGTTGGAATATTTTTTTCAAGTATCGAATCACTTGTATTATGACACTTAATATACTAGACCGTATTCCTAATACACTGAAAAATCCCTCGACAAATGGAGTCCAGCCAGTCTCCCGTGCTACAGCTACATCAAAAAGTTAGAACCTTTGAGTTTAACATTAGTGAGAAAACCCCATTGATGAGAGACATGCATGTACACAAATGATAAAAATGATATTTTCCCCTCCTAAAGTTAGGCTTCATTACATATAAAATAAAACAATTAGGATGATGATAAGTTATAGCTAATAACTAATAATCATGATTATTTATATATTTATCCTAAAAAAATGTATTAGTTGCAGACTTAGATGTAATCAAATTGGCTAAAACAATTTGGTTCTTCTCTACACTTAAAATTTGAATCTCTTCTTTCATAATATCTGTCAAATTAAGATATTGCTCAAATAAAAAGATAAATAGGTGATAGCCAAGAAAACAAGAGCACTAACAATTTATTAAATATGATTTTTGCATGAGCACTTAGGATTATTAGTGTAGAAATTGCTTTGTTCAAAAAAGGAGGAATGAACTCCACTTACATATGTAATCAAACTTATCCTAATCTGTACATGCAAACAAGTACTTAAGTTGAATATGTTATCAGTATTGTCATCCTTATATTTATGGCAGATGTTTAACCATATTTGGACCAGCTGCATTGCATGACCTTAGTTTAAACACCTTTTTTTGGAGGTTTTATCTAATTTCGGTTCCAAACAAAACCAAGTGTATTTACTCCACTAATATTCCACTTTAGTATTTTTTTTTTCTTTGGTAATAACTTAGGGCTCATTTGCCAAGTACTTTTAGATGACCGAAAGCGTTTTTTGGTGAAAAATGTTTTTTGAACCAATTTTTATGGTACTAAAGTGCAAAATTAGTGGAATAAACACTTGAAAACAAAAAATATTTCTCTAAAAATGCTTTAAATCATTTAAAAGTATTTCTCAAATTAAGCCCTTCTTTTATGCAAGCAATATATTCGAATTCAAGACCTAGGATGTTGGGACTGGAATACATTTTCTTAACACCTGAACTATAAATTTCATCCATACTAGAATTAACAAAAGTAGTTCTTCCATTGACACCTATTCTTTTTAACGACTGTTAGAAGCTGCTTCTTTGGCTCTTCAACAAGATCCCACTCAATTGTATATAGTTGGAGTGAGATTCATATCAATAACATATCGATCACAACATTAACAACACATACATATACATAATTGATATGTTGTTAATAACATTGCCGATATGCTATCAATATGGATCCCATCTAAGCTACAGTTGAGCGAGAGGCCTGTTTAGTGGTGTCAAGTGAAAAGAGCCCATTCTTTAACAAGGCCCTTTGGCAAACACAAGCGGTCATTTCATTTGGTTTTTAAATTGAACAAGCTTGAAGTCGCCATTAATTGAAATGTGAGAACATATTTGATCAGCTCAAAACACAAAACCTATAATTTACTTGATTACATGATGTAGCAAAATTTACTAAATTAACAGAGTAGCTAGGGAAAACAGATGGATGAAATCATGGTCCAGTAGGACTTATGTCTTGTGTGTAGATATAGTCTGTGTGAGCAACCATGGACCTTCTCATCAAACACTCTTCACTGTTTAATCCCTTACAATCAGCCTCACCATCCAGGCTTCCTTCCTCCTACAAATTAAAACAAAAACATAAATTTTAATTAATTGAAATCAACATGCACCAGGATTAAGATTAACATGAGATAAAAAAAAAAAGTAAAAGGGTAATTAACTTAGGGAAGTGATTTCTTCCATCTCATTTTCTCCTCTACACTATTTTCTTTCTATCTTTTTTGTTGAATCAAAGGAGAATCGAGAGATGGAAAGAAAGAAAAGAGTGCAGAAGGAGAAAATGAAAATGTATAAATCACTATCCTTAACTTACAAGTGATGAAGATCTGATGGCCATATAAGAAGGAGAAGCACCAGCAGAAGATGATAATGATTCATTTCGACCAGATACAGGCAACGTGGAGGCAGCTGGGATTTCTCTGGCTTCTGCTCTTGAAATATACAATAGAGAAGAGGCCAAAAGGAAGAACAAAATCTGGGCATTCGCCATTGTTTTGGTCGCAAAAGCTTCACAATTTCAGCACAGGTTAATAAAAAAGCTTCCTCCTTTATATGTAAGTATTTATGGAGAACAACTGAACCCTAGAAATTTAAATTGGGTTTTGACTTTCAAATTTTCAGAGAGTGAAGGGGATATGATGGAGTGATGATTTTGTGAGCTGCTGCCATGAACGAGATATTATTGTGCACTGCTGCCTGCCTGCCTACTGTCTCAGAGTGCAGAAAGTCAAGACGTTGCCGTTACCAATTAGTACAGGTCAATGCTGAGCCTCTTTAATTTCTTCTTCCTCCTTGGAAAAATCACCATTTAAAGACATCATTGAAAAGCGTTTCTTCTTTTTTATCTCCATCTGATTTTTTTAGTGTGAGTTTGTTTGGGTGACGGGGAGCTAGCTGTACTGTTTACCATGCAGCTGCAAGTGTACTTGTGTAAGATCAAGTCACATGCCTTGGCATGCATGTGATGGACACCTGTTCATGTTGGGGACATCTTGGTCACCCCCTTCAAATAATCATTATACACAACTAGACAGAGAAGCTTTGATAAGGTTGTCTAACTTGAAAACCATTGAAATTAGTAGTCCGAGATAGAGTCTCATATTTTGTTGAGAATGAAGTGATTAAATTTCTGATCAAAATTTATCTCGTAAAAATAGCATATCATCACATGATATTACTAATTCACATAATATAAAATAAATATCTTGATGAATAATGGATTTCAAATTAAAATATATTATTAGTAAATGTATATGGGTTCAATAACATTAGTGAATTAGTTACATTACATGACACCTAATTAATAAACTAAACCCTTGGAGCTTAATCCTGTACCTAATGTGATTATCCTAATGGTCAAAGATTACTGCCTAAACCCCCACAAGTCCCTAAGCAGCGTGCAGTGATGAGTGAGCCTTTCCACATTACCAGAGCTGGTAATTTAATAATCATACGGATAATGGTGTTCTTCAAAACATAATTAGTAATATATAATGTGATTATCGGGAGGGACGTCACAAAACTGTCGACCACGTTTGTAATCTATCGATCCCAGACCAAGCAAATACAAATTTGTGATTTCCTTCACTACTCACTAGTTTTGTCCCCTTGGGGCCAAATATTATTTTAGTGTACAATATTTATTTAGTTCCGATTAAAAGAAATTATAATCACACACATTTTGTCTACACACTTCAATTCAATTTTGTTTGTTGTTTTCGTTTAATTAATTCAATCTAATAATAGAAAAGGGTCATTTTGGTTTTGGTCTCTAATCAACTTAATTGTTAGACAGAAACCTTATTTGTTTAAATATTTTGATTGGAATCCTTAACATTATTTAAGATATTTAACTCATGCATTTATGTGTTTAATGTCCCACAAATTATGAAATTTAAACAAATTCAAATAATATTTTAAAATATAATAAATACTTCAAAATAAATAATAGAATAATATTGTCTTCACAAAATTATAGCAAAGAAAATAATGTACCCACATAATTATTAACATATTTTAAAAAAAATAACTATTGATATATTTTAAAACATAAAATAAAAACATATAATTTGTAGTATCCCACATCGCCCGTGAGGGCTTGGTCTTTGGGCCTTATATATCCATTGCCAACCTTAAGTTTCAGTGAGGCCTTTTGCGGACTCCCTGAGGGGAGGGCAGGCGCTGGCTACGGCTGAGTACCGGTCCGCAGAAACAAAACCGTGCGGTAGCTCTGTCTGCGGGCAGAGAATGCCAAAGCGGACAATATCACTGGAGCTGAGGGTTGGGATGTGACAATTTGGTATCAGAGCCAGACTCACGGTCGTGGTGTGCCGACGAGGACGTCGGGCTCCCTAAGGGGGGTGGATTGTAGTATCCCACATCGCCCGTGAGGGCTTGGTCTTTGGGCCTTATATATCCATTGCCAACCTTAAGTTTCAGTGAGGCCTTTTGCGGACTCCCTGAGGGGAGGGCAGGCGCTGGCTACGGCTGAGTACCGGTCCGCAGAAACAAAACCGTGCGGTAGCTCTGTCTGCGGGCAGAGAATGCCAAAGCGGACAATATCACTGGAGCTGAGGGTTGGGATGTGACATAATTAGCATGGGTACATTTAGTAAAATTAAAAATGGGTACAAATAAATAAAAATATATGGGTACAAATACAAATAAAACTTAAAAAATATGGGCATAAAAATAATTTAATATATGGGTACAAATTAAAAGTGAAAAGAAAACTGATACAAATATAAAAAAAAAGGTCGCAAATTAAAAATGGGTACAAAATAAAAATATATATATGATAAAAATTTTAGAATATAAATATATCAAATGTAACATGTCTAACACTAAATGAATATAATTAGAAATAACAAATATTTTATTATTGAAATAATTAATTACGTTTATTAATACCTAGGAACCTTGATAAAAAAATTAAAAAGAAATAAAGTTTTAATCAATGAAATAGCTAAAAAAGGGATGTGAACTTAATTAATAAATGTGTATAAGAAAAAAATTACGGGTGGTTATCATTTCTCCCGCTTAATTGTCATCTTTTTAATAAATAAGAAATGATCAGTACTTGCATCCACTACATCCATGAATATTAAGCTGGATGCAAGTATTTTCCTTAAAGTGATTAAGGGTTTTATTTAGCAATTGGTAGATAACCCTAATGAGTAAAGCATTCTTCTCCATCCCATTTCTTTTAGAATGCGAACACTTTCTCTTTCCTTAGTGTAATTTAGATTATAAACATGGTTTGTATTAAAAAAATTAATATTAATTTTGCAATTTCTTACCGCGAACATTGCAGGACTAAACTGATGGAAAACTATTATTAGCAAAAACATGATGGATGCATCTTATATGAAGCATTCAAAAGACATAAATAAGAGAGCTTCTTCGGGAAACATGATTCCCATTTCAAAATCATGATTAAAAGTAAAAAAGATAAAAGATGGTGCGTCATTTTGTTAATTGTTTAGAAAGATTATGCAATCGAGGCCCGTTGACTGTGTACTGTATGGCTTTGACCTGACAACTCCCTTGTTTGGATTCGATTCTTTTCACCCACTAATCAGTAATTTAATCAAGTGATATTTTTGTTTTTCATTTATTCAAATTGACATGACATGAGTTCGAGAATGAAGATTATAACTCAAATTGTTCAGAGTGTTCGTTTACGTTAACGCTCAAAGGTGGGATGTCAACAAATACTAGTTTGATCAATTATTGATGAATTGATAGATAATGAAGTTTAAGTGGTTCATCTTCAAAATTAAATTACGTCTACTTTAGTGACATGTATATATTTGATGTGTGATTACAAACGCACTATACAACAGTGTAATATTTCTCTTCTTTTGTGTGTCTAACCATCTATAAGGGTTACTTGACCATGTGAGCCCAAAATGTCTTGGCTCTCAGGTACTTCAACACCCTAGCATTAAATGAAGTGACATTTGTTTAGGGACATGTGGAGATAAAATGACATTTGTTTAGGGACCGCTAGCAAACACATATCGAGCATTTCGCTTGGCCCTGAGTGACCGAGAAAGAACTTTACCGAGCACTAGGTCTAACAACCCTTCATATACTTCTACTTTTGTTGATGGGCAAAGTGTGGCTTAGAGTTAACATCTGAGTAGGCCTGTCTCTAGGGCTTTGTGTCGTAAAATTGTCCAACTTGCTTGAGTGGTTGAAGGTACTTTTTGGTTAAGCGCTCGTCTTCTTTGTCAATAATTGATCCAAACTGGCAAGTGGTCACTTTTAACAATCGTTATTCTGTCCTTGTGATGGTGCTCTGTCATCTAATTCCATTGGGGTGGCTCGTAGGCACAAGGCCTTGATCTTTTACTCCTCTCGCGGACTCATAATGAGTCCAACTTACAACCATATACTATTTTACGGTCTAAGAGGACCCAATGTTAACAGCTCCTACCACACCCAAAATTTTGTTTTTGAATTTCTCATTTCCGAATTTCGTTTGTACAAGAAAAACATGATACGGGTTGAAATGGGTTGGGAGTGGGCTCGCTGGGCTTGGGTTTACTTTGGCTGTGGGCTGACTGAGTCTAGCCCAATATTTTCAACTTATGGACGTACAGTTAGTTGGTTATGCCATTGGGAATTGGGATAGCGCCAAACTAAGTTCTAAGATTTTTTTTTTTTTTTTTTCCTTCCTATTTTTTTTCCGTTAGAATTATTCTACAGTCTTCCCTTATCCTCCAAACAAAAACTTCATCAACTCTCTGTTGAAAGTTATCTCCAAAATTCCAAACTCTAATGATATTTTCGTAATTCCAGGCTCAATTGGGGAACCATGGCATTTTCTCCAACTCCCATCTCTGCTCTTTCCTTCACCAACATTCAGAAACTGCCCAAAAGGCTCTCTCCACCTTCTGCTGCCAACTCAAAAGGCATACCCAAAGACCTCATCTTTAACCATGATGGTTCAGCTACAAAGAAGCTTCTGGTACCAGTCACAACACTCGTCAATTGGTGCCCCAATTTCGGATGGAAACTTACCTACACTTGAAATGTCACTGTAGCGATTTCTCAAGCCATACCATGCGTCTTAAGTCTTAACTTTCTAGTGTGAGTGTGCGTAATTGGCTTGGGATACCGACACAGTGTAGGTAATTTCTCTCCGGAATTGGGGCTTTGTTTGGGTTGATATTTTAATGATTGAATTGGTGGTGGTGGTGGCAGGCAGGGGTGGACATGGTGGCAGAGCTTGTTGGAGTGACATTGGGTCCAAAGGGAAGGAATGTGGTGCTGCAGAATAAATATGGACCTCCCAAGATTGTCAATGATGGTGAAACTGTACTCAAACAGGTATTGCACCACAACCCACACATTTGTCATCCCTTGCTTTATCATTAGCCATTTGTTGGTTTTAGAGACTAATCACTTGGTAATCAAAGTTAATCAGACACACAAGTATTTGCATCAAGAAAGGAGCTTTCTTGTTAGTGAACCAAAATGTACAGTAGCTTTCATCAAAATTATGATTTCCCTCATCAGCTGCTTATCAATCACTAATTTATCTGAATTCCATTGTCTTTACATTTTGCTCCTGGTTCACTACACCTGCATTTACAGCTACAGTCTGAATAGAAATTGTTGCTGCACAATGAATACGTTGTTAAGTTTTTCGTGAGTTACTAATACGAGTGCGAAGGTATGTATCTCTTTTCTTAACTGGCTTCATTTTCCGTTCTTTCTTAAGATTGAGTTGGAGGACGCTGTGGAGAATGTTGGTGTTAAACTGGTGAGGCAAGCCGGCGCGAAAACAAATGACCTCGCAGGAGACGGTTCCACTACAGCTGTAGTTCTTGCTCATGGTTTAATTACTGAAGGTGTGAAGGTATGAATCTGGTGCCATCCATTGCTTTGTTTCTTGGACTAGAAGAAAGAAAGTACTTATTGTGATGGTTAAGGATCCTACATTGTTATAGAAAGGCTAGGTTGTTCTTAGATGTCTGTGACAACTGAGCTAATCTGCATCGTATCCAAATCCTATGTTTAATACCCCTATTAAACATGTCGTTTAATGGAATGCAAGTCCGCATTCAATTAAACCTTGGCAACGTTTTTGTATTGTACATAAACTTTCTTCTAGGTTACTGCAGCTGGCATGAATCCCATTCAAATTGCTCGTGGGATTGAAAAAACTGCTGTGGCCCTCGTTTCAGAACTCAAATTGATGTCCAGAGAGGTAACCAGATTTGTTTTCCTTCTTCTAATTGAAAGATTGAAAACCCTATCGATCCAAGCATTATTCAAGATCATGAAAAAAGTATAGCGAAATGAAGACATTGCATTAGGCTGTACAAAAACATTTGAAGAAATATTTTTCAGTTAATTCAGTTACCATCCTACATATATTGCTATGCAGATTGAAGATCACGAGCTAGCAGATGTTGCTGCAGTTAGTGCAGGCAATGATTATACAGTTGGGAAAATGATTTATGACGCTCTTCGTCAAGTAGGTAAGAAGGGTGTGGTTACCATTGAATCAGGGAAAAGTACAGAGAACGACCTACAAATTGTGGAAGGAATGCAGTTCGATCGTGGATACTTATCGCCTTATTTTGTCACTGACCGAAAAAAAATGATAGTGGAGTTTCAGGACTGTAAGGTAAGAAGTTCACGTTATTTATGGACTGGCATGCTCTCCGATGAAGTAATTAGACATCATGAATTCTTTGTTTGCAGTTACTTTTGGTTGATAAGAAAATTACACACCCAGAGGAGCTGTTCAAAGTATTGGACAATGCAGTACAAGAAAAGTATCCTGTCGTGATAGTTGCAGAGGGCATTGAGCAGGAAGCTCTGACTCCAGTGATCAGAAACAAACTCAGGGGTGCGCTGAAGGCAGCTGCTATTAAGGCTCCTGCCTTCGGTGAGCGCAAAAGCCATTACTTAGACGACATTGCCATTTTGACTGGAGGTAGTAGGTTAAACATCGAAACTCAGATATGAAATGAGCTCCGGCACAGTTCTTCATATTGCATGTATTTTGCAGCAACGGTCGTGAGAGATGAGATGGGGATTGTCCTATATGATGTTGGGAAGGAGGTTTTGGGCACTGCTACTAAGGTTGTGATAACAAAGGATTCTACATTGATAGTTACCGATGGCAGCACCCGGGAGGCTGTAGAAAAGAGAGTTTCACAGATACAAAAGCTTGTTGAGGTACATCCGACATCTCTTGGCACTCTTCTTTGTTGCTGAAGTGTAGAAGGAACTCTACACATCGTTATTTCCTCTGTCAAATACAACACAACTAATTTTTTTCTTTTTTTCAGAATACTGAAGAAGAATTTCAAAAGAAAATATTAAATGAAAGAATAGCAAGATTATCAGGGGGAATTGCTATTCTGCAGGTAATGAAAAGCTTAATGCACTTAGACGTCTTTAATCTGAATGCCGGGAGCCTGACTTTCTTTCAAGATGACATATTGGTTCTGATAATTGATTCATAGGTAGGAGCACAAACACAAATTGAGTTGAAAGATAAGCAACTTAGAATTGAAGATGCTTTGAATGCAACCAAGGTAGTTTCCCACTGTTCTTATTTTCGTAAGAAGTTGAATGCCAGTCGATAATGGTTGTTTTCTAACTGGATCACAATATAGGCAGCTATTGAGGAAGGTGTGGTAGTCGGCGGTGGCTGTAGCCTTCTGAGGCTCTCTAAAAAGGTGGATACTATTAAAGAACTTTTGGATAATGAAGAACAGAAGGTACCTCCCTGCCACTCCATTTTTAATCATTTCGTGCTCGATTCATGCTGTTCAACCTGTTTTTACTAAGTTTTCATAGCCATTGTGGTCGTTTATCTGTGTTTGCGCAGATTGGAGCGGAGATCTTCAAGAGAGCTCTAAGTTATCCTGTGAAACTGATAGCTAAAAATGCAGGTGTAAATGGAAGTGTTGTAGTAGAGAAGGTCTCTGCATGTTAAATGCATTTTCTTCTTAAAACGTAATTTTAGATTAAGTGCACTTGTCATGCTTTCTGGCTGGATATCTTGAATCAAATTGTTCTACTGAGACTTGTTGAATTTTGCAGGTTCTGTCCAACGATGACATGGGGTACGGATACAATGCTGCGAAAGACTGCTATGAGGACCTAATGAAAGCCGGGATCATGGATCCATCAAAGGTTTTGTAACACTCATTGACTTTGGAACAAAATTTCTACACCGGATGACATAACTAAGCTACAATCCTGCGGCATTTTAAAAGGTTATTCAACATGAAAACGGTTCCTTATTTTTGGACAGGTAGTTAGATGTTGTTTGGAGAATGCAGCATCAGTGGCCAAAACTTTTCTGACATCGGATGCTGTTGTTGTCGAAATTAAGGAAACACAGCCCATCCCAAAAGGAATGCCGCCAAAACTGCCGGATATCCCAAGAATGCCTCCACCACCACCACCAGACCTGGCTAGTATCCCAAGAAGAAGAAGAAGAAGGGCAGCACCACCAATGCCCATGCCAACCACAGGTAGTTCCTTGCCTTCCAAACAAGGGTTTTTGGTTTCTATGATTTTCCTGCTTCTCATTGATGTAATGTGGCTGTTGAAGTGACAAGAAACTAATTCAAACGTCTGATGATTCAGGTGCTGGGCCCTTGGGCTTTTAAAGAGAGACTTGTAGCCCTATTGGTGAAGAGCACGCATTCACACGTGTATGATACACAGTGTATCTGAGGTTCAAAGTTCAATTTTCTTCTATCTGTCAATAGTGCTTGAATATAAAGAATGACTGTACAATGTAAATAGTTTCATTGTCCATCTAAAAGTCTGCAATGTGGGAAGAATGCCACTCGTTGTTCATATGATATACTTGATTGTTTTTCTGTACAAGATTGACGCGTCATAGGCATTGATCTTTTTGTCCATGATCAAATTTCTCATTAATTATGAAGTAACTAGTTAAATGTAATTTTATTTTTCGTTGTCAATATTCAATAACTTCGTACCTTAAAAGTTTTTTGAAAAAAAGTTTATATATGCAAAATCAGTGGGAGAGAGGATTATATATGCCAAATTGCATCAAGTGTGTTGTGATACGTGCCCCAAGAAGATGGAGATGAGATAGAGTTGGTGCTAGAAAATGGTGGTACATATACATCTGAGCACAGGCTACCAATTTATTGGTAACAGCAGCCGAGTGGGCACCGATGGCAACTCCCTCGGTGAGGTCTCAGGCCTCTTCGGTCCTCACTCCTCACCGACCCGACCGAGTTTGTCATCCTGATACGTGATAACATTTGAGGCTTTTATTGCTTTCGTCGGCCTAAACAAAAACTCTGTACTATTAAATGTGCGTCTGAAAACTTTCAAATGATGTGAGGAGTGAGTCCGATCCATTTATAAGATGCAAGGACCATTAAACCCTCTAAGCAGGAAATTCTTTAAGCAAGTGCCATATCGCAAAGTGTTTTACCTTTTTATCATAAAGTTCATTTTGCTTTCCAAACTTGAGTTTGGGTGTGGATGAATTCAAGATTTGAATGTTTTTCTTTGCTTATTTTTGAACGCCGTTAAATTTACAATTCCGTGCAGTGACAACTAATTTGATCAATTAAACGAAAAGTAAAAGAAATACTATTTTACCGCATTGACAGTAATTTTTAATGCTTCTACATTTTGAAGCGAGTATGATTCTCACCGATTTTTTATTTTATTAATATTAATAATTTATCTCAATAATACTATAGTTTGTGAAAAACGAAAAATTGAGATAAAAAAATGAAAAGAATGAGAATAGAAGAGGAAAGTAGTAAAGATCATTGGCGTTTCTCATCTGTGGCAAGAACATGACACGTGCAACTGCAACAACATCACAAAGCACACCATCACAAAAACTGGAAGTCCCCTCTCCCAAATTCCCAGAAATTTTCTTCGTATTTTTGCTGCCGTTCTTTCCTGCTTTCACCTCCGCAGCTTTTGTATAAATGTCGTCGGAGCAACGCGATCCTCTCACAAGGTGAAATTAGAAAAAACCCCAATTCGGATCCTCCCGTTTGTCAATCAGGAAATAGAAAGATGTTGATGATGGGATGGAGCATCCAGAGCTTACTGGATTTGGCGGTGGCCGGAATTTCAATGATGGTCGGCTTGGGGATCTTTGCGCTTATTGCTTCTATCCTTTGCTCTGCCGCGTTCTTGCACACCGCCACCGCCAAGGACGTCTCCTCTTGATCCACCCATTACTTGAAAGGTAACCGTTCCCAATTTCAAATTGAGATTCAGCTTCACTTCGGCCGCATAAATCTTGATCTGGGTATTCATGAATTGATGCGATCCAGGTTTTATGTCCGTCGAGGTGAGTTTTTTTGTTTGATTGATGTGTTGAATTGGTAGATTTTTTTTATGAACTTTTCTTCGTGATGTGTTTTATAGGTTACCGTAGCATACAGAAGGAATGACATGGTTGGCACGAGTTATGATTCAATTCAAATGTAGCTCTGATTAGTGGTTCTGGTTTTGAAGATTTTGTAATTTGTATCCATAACAATTGCAGCGAGGTTGTTCAATAAAAAGTCTCCTCCTTTGTTTGAAAAATGCAAATACTGTACATGTGATTTCCGCCCTTTCTTTTTCTCGTAACGCAGTCGCGTTTAAAATATGCGTACCATTTTTGCCATAAAATACTTCAACATTAGTCACAAAACTGTACTTTTTAACAGACGCTAAGCGCTACACGTGAGTAATGACACAAACCACAATGGTTAATGTGAAATTACGAGTTATCATGTGTTTCTTTTGGGTAAAATTGTGCTTTCCAAAATACGTTACGCGCTAACAGTGAATACGAAGCAAAACTCAGTGATTAATATGAAATTACGAGTTATCATGTTTTTCTTTTGGGCTTTCTTGAGTACACCATTCCCCGGATCCCATCCGGATCCGCCACAAAACCCAACGGCCTGTAAAACCCGAGAACCCTGGGTTCCGAATACAAAGCAATATTACAAATCCCTTTCCCTACCAGCTCCTCTATCAACCTCTCCATCACCGCCTTCCCCAGCCCCAGCCCCTGAAACGACGGGTCCACCACCACGTCCCATATGATCGCGTTGAACACGCCGTCTCCCGTCGCCCTCGCGAACGCCACCGGCCGCTTCGTCTTCCTGTACTCCATCCACAGCAGCGAGTCCGTGTGCTCCAGCGCCGTCCGGATCTTGTCCGGGTCCCGCTTCGGAAACCCGACGGCCACGAACACCTTGTTGAGGTGGTCCAGGTTGAGCTCCGCGATCGTGCGGTGGAGGTTGAATCCCCGGGTGTCGAGGTCTTGGTCGGAGATTGAGTATTGGTTGGTAGTTAGGGAGCGGCGCGACAGGGTGAGGCTTTGCGGGGGAGTGGGAGCGGCGGCGGTGCTTCTGAGGCTTAGACAGGGGAGGGGAGCCGAGATAGTGCCACGTAAGATCATGTTTGGGAAGAGGTGAAGTGATAAGTTGGTTAAATGAGGGAGAGCAGCTTTGGGTTTTGTATGAATGCGCTGTACCGTGGTCAGTTTGTGGTGGTGAGTCGCCCCTTTTGGATACAGAAAGCGTGCCAACAAACGACGTCGTATGATGAAGTAACTTCAACGGGTAAAAACACAAGTGGAAAAGATAAAATGATCTGTTTGGATGTATTTTTAAAATAATAGAAAATATTTTTGATGAAATTGACTTTAGGTTTCAAAAGTACTTTAATATTTTTTTAGAAGAAACACTAGATATGTATTTCTTGCCAGAAGCACTTAAAATATTTTTTTCAAAATCTACTTGGATTTTTACTAAAAATTGATTTAAAAAACATTTTTATTAAAAGCACCTTCAGTTATTTGAAAACTCTTAGAAACGAGACCAAAAGCATTGTACGTTGTGTCTAATAACACTATTACTTCGGTGATCGACAACTATTTATCACCAATATAAATCGACTATTTGCTATAACAAACTAATGAATGAGGCTAATGGTTGGATAGGTCGGATTAGGGATGAAGCGAAAGATATGTATGGATGACGATTAACAAAGTTTTAAATTAGAAGTGAAACAATTTATTACACAAAATCTTATATTTTAATTTATAAAAAAAATTCTAGAATCTATGACACACCCCGAACCAAAAATTGGAGTGTGTTGGCCGTCACGTGAGTGTGACGTAGCCAAGTGCACAATACAGAAGTAAAAGAATGAAAATGCGAGGAAAATAAAGTAAACAAGATAATTTACAATAAAAGATCAGTGAGTGCTAGTGACAAACACGGAAGGAAAACTGCAAAGTAGGAGTTCAAATATCCTAAGTGCAGTCCAGAACAAACAAACACTACACAAGTGACTACTAGAAAATCCTACATAGAGGGTGCTCTGTCAGAACTGCCTCGATGCCTCGTTCGCCACCCACAACCTCCCTACCTAAAACCTAGAGGGGCGTAAAACAGAAAATGTGAGTGGGTAAAAACAAAGTTTGCTTTTCAAACCATTCCAATAACAAATATTAACCTCTCTCTGTAAAACCCGTATATTTTCCAGAAAATATTATACGTACTTGTATCTCAAAACATGCTAAAAACGATAAAGCTCAAAAATGCCATGCCAGAAAAATATGTCGTGTCAGAATATTCAATCAACAATGTATGTATCAAGCAGGTGAGATAAAACAGTAGTAATATGCCAGTAATATGTCAGCTGGAGTCACCTAAAGTGACCTGTATGGTTGAATCTATAGCTCCTCAACCACTATCCTGCACACAAGTCAGAACCACCAATTGTGGTCTGTACAACAGGCTAGTGTAATATAAATACGCTCAGTGCTACGATCACGTGAAGGTTGTGCGATGTATTGCAAGTCACCTACAAGTCAGAACCACATATAGTGGTCTGTACGACAGGCTGGCACCTGCCTTGAATCCAAGGTGAGCGTACGGTGCGGGAGGTGAACGATCACGTGAAGGTTAGGCCCTACTCTGACGGAGCACAATCATCGAGGTGCAGGAATATAAGGTATAACTCAATCTCATCATCACCACATCGATCACTAACAAACATACTCACTTGACTTACCTGAGCGTTCGCTGTACCAAAGCATACATATATGCAAATATTAATGCATAACTAAATATGTAGACGCTAGGCATGGCATTTTAAAACATATAAACATTTAATTGCATTTTTTGGAAAAATACTCAAGTATATAGGTATATACGGAAAACCAAAAGCCCATTCACTGATACGTAGAAGGGTCGTAAGTCCCGAGCCTCACATGGCTTCGCTCGTCCTCCTGATAGTCCTCACCTATATGCGAAACAACTATAAAACCGTCAATTTAAAGCACATAACCAACCTTAGATAATAACTTCTCATACATTGCTCAAATGGGGTGTTTGAATATACCAACGTGATCTACTCAACCTCACGAACATCCCCATATTTTTAAAATAATTTTCTGACCTCCCACGCGCCGGCCACGAGTGTGAAACCCTAACGGCGTTAGGGAATATTCCATTAAAACCCTCACAAACGTTAACGGGCGTTACCTGATGTCGTTAGAATATTCCGTTAACTCTGACGGAATATTCTCCTCCTTTTCTGGTGAGCCTCGTCGGTCGCCGCCGTCCGCCTCCATCAGCACAACCGTCTGCAACTCAATTTCTCGCTGGAAAACTGGGAAAATTTCAAACCTTAATATCTTCTTCATTTCTCAACCAAATTCCATGAAATTTGTACCAAAATGAAGCTTACAACAAGTAGAACAAAACCTTACCACTTTGGGGACCTAAAACCAACGGAATCTTGCCTAAGAAACCTCGAAATTCCAACCGAACCTGTAATTCACTGAAACTGGGCTTCCCAATGTCCAAAAACCCTCAAAATTGTTCCCCGAGCTTCGTGAGAAGGTTCTAAAGCTCCCTATAACCTTAAATACTTCATAAAACCTCATGATCACATGTGCATGAATAGTGCACCAAAACTAAGTTCACGGGTTCTAGGGTTTTCGAAGGTTTCACATCCAATCAACACCACTAATCGACTTTTGAGCTCAAAATGAGTCCAAAAACACCAAGATCAAACAGGATCCGTGCCTGAAAATGGTTGGATGAAAGTTGTCCGTACGATGAGGAAGAAAATGGAAGGAATCCAAGAGAAGGAGGGAGAGAGAGTCACGGGGGAAAGGTTGGGTGTGTGTATGGGTGTGCAGTCCAGATGACAGCCCACCAAACAAAAACAATTCAACCCATACACCCAACAAAATAAAATACGTCCAGGGGTAAAATCATCTTTTCACACTAATAGTACAAAAGTTCGGGACAGGATGTCACAATCTACAATATCACTTGATGCGTTTTCATGTTTTGAAGCATTTCACGACAACTTCTTTACCAATACCATCAAATATCACACTATCAAATAATCATATTATCATTCATTCATTGATCTTATATCCAGTTTTCCAATCAATCTTCTGAAATTTTATGGTTGAAAATGTTGTTTCATTGTTAGCAAAAACAACTAGAAGAGTAAGTATTAATGTTACAAGTAAAAAAATTAGTCATACACCTCACTAATATCATAAGCATATACATTTTTTTTTACCAAAAAACTAAGCGGGAGCATCTGGGGGCAGGAGGAGGATTCTCTACCTTTCTATTCTCATCCCCTCCTCTCACGCATTGTTTTTTGTCTTATTATCTCTATAAAAAAAATCAATATAAGATGTTGACGTGGCTTAACCGTGACCGTTCAAATAAGAGGGCATAAAAGGGTAGAGAGATTATGAGGGTAGAAAATCCTCCTCCCTCCCTGAGGGCAAAGTAGCTTCTTCTTTTGGTGGGATCCACTTGTGTAGCAATCAACACCGACCTCACTAAGAACCTTATTTTAGTGCATAACATGTACTCAAGAAATAGATAGTGAAATATGCAATTTAAGTAGGGGGTTTAGCTTACAAATTAGATAGGAATGTGCTATCAACATACTCTTTTTTATTTCTCACATTTTTTGTTAATTTATATTCTTTGATCTTATTCAATTCAATCAAGATTAAAAATTAAAAAGGTACAAAAAAATAAAAATAAATGTATAGATATTACACCCCATTAGATATTCCCACTTAGTACTCTTGTGCATTCTTGATTCTTCTCTTTCGTTTTCATCTCTCTCGGATAAGTCAGATATTTTTCCCCCTAGCTTGCGACAAATCCGAGGCAATTTAGCTTACACATGTCGGATGCAATCGTGTAAAATTCAACGCGATGTAGTGATACATGGTGGTATTTTAACCACGTTTCGAAATTCAGAAACATCTTAAGGTGAACTGTTGCAAGATAAAAATAACCAACCAAATTCCAAGAGATCTTTTGGTTTAACTGTTGAGAGCTAAACTTCTTTTTTCTCTTGCGAAACGATATTTTACTGTAAACTAATTTGATCAAACTAAGTTTAAAACTTTTAAATGCATTTAGAGTAAGATCATCCGATGTAGTTTAGTAAGCTAAACTCTTTTTATTGATAAAACGGTATTCTACTGTAAACTAATTTAAGCGGACTAAGATTTGAACTTGAATCAATTACAAAGACACCACCCTCTTTATTTCGTGTCTGTGCCAGTTTTCTCAATTACAGCACTTCGATTGTTTTTAGTTGTGCATTATTTGATAAGCTAAGTACACAACCCCCGCGAAATATGCATCTTAATTAACCTTAAACTCAATACTAATCATACTAATGGAAAGCTAAATTCTCCTCTAACCCTCTAATTAATCTTTCTTAATTACCTTAATTGGCTGCTCAACTGTACTCCATACTTCACACCTGACTTTCAGCACTATCTGCCTTGTGCAGCAACTCCTCCTCCTCCTCCTCCCCCTTTTCTCTGACCCTTAATCTTTCATCCTCTCTCTTCTTCTCCTTTCTGCAAGTTACTTTCTTATCTCTATCTGCATGCCTGAGCCGCCATCCGCCGCTGCGATTTCTGCCGCCTATCCCACGTGGAAGTAGTACTTCTTCACGGTGGCTTGGGCCGGAGGAGGCGTCTGAAACCATGGAGTCATCACTCTCACCATCATAATGACGATCAACAATGCAGTTCCTGCCATTGATTTTTCCACCCCCTTTTTTATGATCACTAATATTGTAGTAAACTTCATTACTTTCGCTACGCATGATGGGGGAGCCAATATACATTGTCCATCCAGACTCGCTACTCCCACCCCAATTCTTCGTATCGCCTCCAGCAACTTGGGAAGATTCCATTCCACAGAGACACAAAGCTCGGAAGCTCACCCCAACAACTTTCGAGATTAAAACTGAAAACGAAATGATTAACGAAGCGAGTTCGAGTTGGTAGAAACTTTTGAGACAAGATGTTATGACTCTTATCATAGAATGGAAATGCACTTATATATTAGTCTGTTTATTTGCCTTCGATTCTCACAAAAAAAGGACAAAGAAATCCATCTCAGTACAGTGGGATTTGAAAAATCCTCCCCCTTCCCTCTCTTAATTATTGAATGAATATTGCCAAGGATGCGTCACCACCTGGCAACCCTATCACCATATTTTCCATGGTCACTAAAGGACAAGGTCTTGGATAAATGGTGGTTCACTACGGACAGAGATCTTCTTCGGATCTTATTGTCCGGATTTCAATGATTAAATTGAATTTGATGATTCTCATTAATTCATTTTGCTTACTCATTTCGTATAAATTAATTAAGAGCTTTGATTTCTCTTTCGCACAAACTAAGAATCCTAATTGTCTAATTCTTAAGCTCCGAATGGTCAGGTGGAAGATTCAAATTCATTCACTTCTCACATGTGAAAAATAAACGGGCAGAGCTAGGTAGCTCACTTGTCGTCGTCATCTGCTCTCTCTCTCTCTCTCTCACACACACACCCCCTTTACTTCTGTGTTGCTTATAAATAATGACCAGTTTTTGGTTGGGGAACAGGCAGGCCTCTATTTAATTGGAGAGTACATATTCAACTAGCTTTCAATAGTTTGACGAAGTTTTAAGTTCGACTCACATGAATGTAATAGGCGATATATATTTGTGATAGTTCGAAAACTAGTTGCAGCTGATCCGGTTGTAATGGTGTAGCTTCATTTTTCCTTGAATTCTTTGTGCCCTGCCATCATCAAGAAGGAGCAGCTTTTTTCCCTGTGAAAGTTTCAGTCTTTGGCATTTTTTACAGTAGACAATTTACACTAGATTGGACGAGGTTATGTGGTTGGGGGAAAACTTGTGAAAAAGGTCATTTAATTTGCTTCTCTTTTGTTCTTGTAATTGCTGTGTTTCCTTTCCTCCCCAACAAGCAAAGCCCCACCTTCTTCTCTCTCTTCTGAGAATTTGTCTGCAGATACAGAGATGCTCGCTTATGCAGCATTCACACGGTTGGGATCACTAATTTGGGGTTTTATTATGTTAATCATGATTAGGATTTTGATTAGGATGTAATTAAGTGATTATTTGGCTTCTGTCAAGGGGTGTGCTATTCACACACCCCATTTTACTTCTCACACACCCTTGATAATTTATGTCCATTGATCTTCTTCAATTCATCTGATCCGACGGTCGAAATTTAAAAAGGTGAGTGAAAAGTAAAATGGGGTATGTGGATATCACATCCCTACGTCAAATGAAAGGTTGGATTTTTCTTCTTTGGATTGTGTTTACAGTATAGTCAAGGGGATTTTATCCAAACCACAATAAATTCAGAGGCAATAATACTATTCATATCATGTTTTAATATCGCTTTTTATACCACCTTAAATGACATCTAATGTGGACAGACACATTATTTGAAAAATTTGCAAAACCCAAGAAAATGAAAGAGAAAGACTATACCACAATCATAATTTAATTAATTAGTTTTTTTAATTATTAATTTATTAAATAATAAATTAAATTTAAAAATCTGATTAATTCAAATGATATGGATATCCACATCAAATACTACATAAAATAATATAAAACTATAGTACAAAAATATGGTACAAATTATATTTTTGTTAACAATCCATAAGATTCGCCCAAGTGTTTGCAAGAAGCCTTAAATTGTGTAGCAAGCCCATTGCCACGTGGCGCATAACAGAGTGATCCACACGGCCAGGTTATCTCATGCGGATCCCAGATTCAAAGTCCACTCCCAAGTCTCCCACAACAAAAAACCCAGAAGGGTCAATTTCGTCGACTACTCAAAAAGTTACAGTGGCAAGCAACTAAAGAAAATCAAAAGAAAACCGAGAAAATTATGAAAAGGCTACCATCCAATTAAATTTTAAAAAATTTCTTGGGTTGATTCCAGTCCTTAGATCATTTCCAACCTTTAGATTAAAATTTAAAATTTTTAATCCAGAAAATTTATATTTTAACCCAGAAATAATTTTTTTGCCCCAACTCTTCTGGGTTAAACTTTTAGCCTCATATCATTAAGGAATGAATTTAGACTAATTTTTTTTCTTCAAAGTAACTTTTTTTAAAAGAAAAAAAATAATGTAGAGTATCATGATTTAATTTTATGAACATTTTAATTTTAAAATATTTTTATTCCAACAAATATTGAAAAATCACTAATCAACATCATGAAACTCGTGAAATATTATGAAAGAATATGAACACATAAAAGATTTTTTTTTAAAATTACTTTAACTGTTGGATTTAAATATGGATTGTTAGATTTTTTGTTTTTTTTTTATTGATGCATTCAATTAATTTATAAATATAAAACTTAAAAAATATACATATATGGTGGACCAACCCCACTAACTCAGGGGAAATCCTAGGCTAAATTTGGCCCATAAATGAGTTTTGAGTTTTAACTCATATTTACTCCAAGGGTTGAAGCAAGTTGTGGTAAGTTTAGAACTTAAAATTTGAGTTTTACTTCAAGGATTGGAGTAGATCTTATAGATTAAAATTTTAGCCCTAGATTATTAAATAATGAAGTTATACTAATTTTTTTCTTAAAGTAACTTTTTTAAAAAGAAAAAATTATGTAGACTATCATAATTTAATTTTATGAACATTTTAACCTAAAAATATTCTAACAAATATTTAAAAATCACTAATTGACATTATGAAACTCGTAAAACAAAAGAATATAAACACATAAAAGAAAATTTTTTTTTATTTGCTTTAGCCTTTGAATTTAAATTTGAACCGTTAGATTTTTTTTTTATTTTTATCGTTGAATTTAAAAATATACATATATGGTGGCCCAGCCCCACCAACTCGGGAAGAATACTGGGCTAAATTTGGCTCAGAAATAAGTTTTGAGTTTTAACTCATATTGACCCTAAGAGTTGGAGCAAGTTGGAATAAGTTTAGAACCTAAAATTTAAATTTTACTCCAAAAATTGGAGTAAGTCTTGGTCCTAAACAGAACCCTACTGACCCTATGGGGCGTTTGTTTGCCCTCACTAACTCTCACTGGATTGGACTAGACTAATGGTTAGTCTAATCCCGTGTTTGGTACCCGCTAGGACTAACTTTAATGACACTAACCTTCACTTGCCTCGACTAACCATGGGATTAGCCGCCCTTAGCAAAACCCATTAAACTATGAGATTGCTAGTCCAGTTTTCAAAATTGTCTGCATGTTGTATGAAAGTTGCAAGTCTGCAAGCATGCTTCTGGGCAATTCCATTTGCCCTCTCATGCCTAGAGCTGAAACCCAAACTCACTCACAACCTAAATCTCAAAATCCAACCACCAGAATCTAAAAAAAAAAAAAAAAAAAAAAAAGCAAAACAATAACATCAACAATCTCAATAGAAAAATTATACCTTTTTTGCAGGAAAAAGATGAGAGGAAATGAAGTATTGGGGACGGAACCAAAGAGGAACAAAAGTAAAGAACTCTCTAGAGTGAGAGAGGTAGAAGTGTGTGTTCAAATTTTTTGGAAAAAAAAGTTGAATTAATAATAAAATATTATTAGATATATATTAAATAATATAATAATATAATTTGTTATTTTATCTATTTTTTAGTTCGATAATGCATCAAATGTTTTACTAAATTAATCTAGTTTAATTTAATTTAGTTTAAACCAGTTCAATTTAATGTTTGTGACTAATCCAGCTCGAGATAGCCTGTGTTTGGTGCCTTTTCAGTACTGACCTTAAAGTAAGTGACTTTTCAGAATTGCAGATTGAGAGGGAGCGATACCAGTGCCCCTGGATGTCTCTGCTTCTCTATCCGACCCAAAGCTAGCGACTTGTTTGTTTCCTGGTAAAATTTGGATCACGGGAGAAGTGAAACCCGAGATGGGTTTGACGGAATACTTGAGGACAGTTGATTGGGAGGAAGAAGCCTACCCAGCGTATGAAGATTTCGTAATTCTTCCTCTGTTCGTCCTCTACTTCCCAACTGTCCGATTTTTTCTGGATAGATTCGTCTTTGAGGTACATAACATTGATTGGAGCAGCTCAAGCTTTTATTTTTGTAGCTTACTGATGTTATCAATGTTGTTTATCCGACATTTTAGATCGTTAATGATGTTTTTTAGTGTCATGTTGGTTGACCCATGTCGGAAATACACTTCTATTTGATGGGTTGTGTTTGATTTTGTGTTATTTGATTAGCATGATTGAATGTCAGATTGGTCAGCGCGATATGAGTTATTGTTTTTGAAGTGGTTTGACTGGTTTTCTGGTCTTTGAGATTCAGTGTTTGTTTGCATTGTTTCTCAGTTTCCTTTAGGTACTGTTTCTGCTGCATCTTGTATTCTCTTTTAATCAATGAAAAGGATTAGAAAGAGAACAAATTGTTTTACATGGGAAGTTTCGAGTGAGAAGCTCCTCCGATGTCGATTAATGGTTAATGATTGTGTCAATATTGAACCAGCCCTTTTTTCATCAGTGCCATAAAAGCAATGTAAAACTAAAGTTGTTTGCTTTCTGTATTGGTTTGGTGCTGATGTTTTTATTTCCGACAAGCAACTTAAACCGTTTGTAGTAGTCTTCCTGAATATGACCGATTAGTTTGTATGGCCAGATCGATAAACATATAGGTCTCGTTGTTGATTGTTGGTGTAAGATCATTTTATGGGGATCGGTTACTTTTCTCCATTGCTTTCTCACACTAGCTATGTTGGCGGTGAATGCTTCTGCTTAAAAATACTGATGTTCTTGATTATGCTTGAATGCTATACTTAGCTATGTAAAATGTACAGCCTATACTTCACCCGAGCTAAAGTTTTCTAGGGCAGCTTTCGTTTTCCATTACTTTTCAGTTAAACGTTTGATTACTTGTTTCATTCTTATCTCCTAGTACTCTATATATATTCCTAATCAAGGAGTGTGAACTTGACTACTTTTCTTTCCCTTAAGATCTTTATTTACTCAGTGTTGATTTATATTTCATACCGCAGAAATTGGGGAGGCGGTTAATTTTTGGAAAGGGCCTTCAGAAACAGGATGTAAAAACTTATGAACAAAGGAAGAAGATTAGAAAATTCAAGGAGTCAGCATGGAAATGCATATATTTTCTTTCAGCAGAGTTTCTAGCCCTTCTTGTAACTTATGATGAGCCTTGGTTTACGAATACAAAATACTTTTGGGTAGGACCAGGAGACCAGGTCTGGCCTGACCAGAAAATGAAGTAAGTCTTAATTAGAATGTATGTCGTGTTTGTGTTTGTTTAAAAAAGGCATTCATATGAAATCTGAGCTTTATCCTTCATAAAATGCTACATATGAATTTCAGGTTGAAATTGAAGGGGGTTTATATGTATTGTGCTGGATTTTACACGTACTCCATATTTGCTTTGATTTTCTGGGAAACAAGGCGTTCCGACTTTGGGGTATCCATGAGCCATCACGTAGCATCTGTCATTCTCATTGTGCTGTCTTACATTTTCAGGTATATTCTGATGGCGTGAGTTTGTAGCTTTCTCATGTTCTTGGTCACAAAACCAACAAAACAAGAATACTAAAACCTAGAAAAGGTATGAAGGAGGGTTTAAGTATTAGCATTATAATACAAGCACTACAGGTATTCGGGTTAAAACATGTAGGAAAATATAAAGAAATATTAACTATGTATTACAATGTGTTAAATTTAATCACTTTCTCCTGTTTCTTGCAGGTTTGCCCGTGTGGGTTCAATTGTTTTAGCTCTTCATGATGCTAATGATGTGTTTCTGGAGGTAGGGAAGATGTCCAAATACAGTGGTGCGGAAAGGATTGCTAGCGTTGCGTTTATTCTTTTTGTATTGTCTTGGATCATACTGCGACTCGTTTACTATCCATTCTGGATCCTTTGGAGTACAAGGTTTGTCTAACTTGATGCCTAACTTATACTAACCTATATTAAAGTGACATATCATATTCAATTTTTTTATGAAAGAACAGACATTAGCAGTTCTACAACGAACCTTCGGTCTATCTTCTATTCATTTTTGCTTGCTTCTTTTTCTGGCAGCTATGAAGTTCTCCTGACATTGGACATGGACAAACACTCTATAGATGGACCAATATATTACTATGTGTTCAATACTCTCCTATACAGCTTGCTTGTAATTCACATATTCTGGTGGGTCTTGATGTATCGGATGCTTGTTAAACAAATCCAAGCAAGAGGCCAGCTTAGTGACGATGTTCGGTCAGGTGAGTGAATTGTCGTATTTCCTTCCTGTTTTGTCATATACAAAGTACATAATTTGATTACAACGCACCGATGTATTTGCACCTGCATCCCTCTCTATTTATAGTTTAGCATTGTAGAATATTTTCTTTACAATGGTAGCGTAAAGTCAGTCAATAATTTTCACTTATGATTTGGTTCTCTTTCGATTATCCATCGTCTTAGTTCGTTGCCTGATCCTTGCTTTTTGTTTCTTTATCGATTTTCTCTGTATAGATTCTGAAGGCGAAGAAGATTATCACGAAGATTAACTGAGAAACATAATATACAGCCACACCGTGATCCTCAGGCAAAGGTGCTCTTAAATTTAGGGAAGACATGGGGTTCCACGAGAAAGAAACCACATTTTCAAGTTGAATTCCCGTAAACATAGAACTTGAGGCAGCTGTTACACTATTTTAGTAGCACAAGTCGTATACGTAAAGAAACGAGACACCTAAGAACTGCTGTATGCTTTATTTGCGTTGCTAGTTAGACCGATGAATGTAGTTTTCATATTTCCTGCAGACAAGGAACATCTCACGTTTACAACACTCGATGTACTCTTTCGATAGTGAAACGATTTTGGTGGAAGAAGCGCGTCGTGATTGCAGGGATGATAAGTTAACCGAGATACAATACGGAAGCAGGTTGAATGAACAGAGTGGCAAGGGTGCAGAAGTTTGGTTCTGACTCAGCTCTCCCTTCACTGCCTTCAATTTGAATCTGCTGGCATGATTGATATGCTAATGCAAGGAATTTTATGTGTAATTGCAACTGTAATATTTGTGCACTTTTTCGAGTCAGCTGTAAGGTTTTTGTGAATACAATGGATCATTTCTTTTCTAAAGCATCCGTGTTTAGCAAAAATTTTTGTTTTCTTTAAGTAATTAGGTCTCGAAAGCTGTCTTTACAGTCTCCTAATCTCCGTTGTTAATTGTCCGTGTTGTTTGTGGAACATGTTTTATCTTTGTTTCTCGTAATTATATTTAAAAAATAAATCATTTAGAGAAGATACGTATTATTAAATATAGTTAACTATTTAACTCATAAACGTTATTGATTTACTAAAAGAAAATCAATTTTACTAATTAGTGATACTGCAGAAAGGACAATTGTATTTTTCTTGGAGACAAAGATATATACATTTATAATTTGTACCAAAACGACATCGTCCTCCTTCTCTCCCCGCTCTTACTTTTTCCCCAATATTCCTTTGCCTTCAGGCTTCAGCTACTAGACTAGAGTCACTTGACAAAGCCAGATTTAAAGTTGTGAACTGGTTACGACGTCGTTTAACTCGTCTTCATCTCCTAGGGTTTCTGATAATTCCACATTTGATACGCCATGGAAGATGTACTGACTGAGATTCCGCCACCATCGAGGTTCTTCCAGGAAGATCTCAACAACTTCACACCTCCGTCGCCGCCCCTTCCCTCTCCCTTCCTCTTGTTCTCTCAAAACCCTGACGGAGCGGCGGCAGAGTTCCCTATCCGCCCCTCTCTTCTCATCGTCGCCCTATCCTCCCCATCCCTTCACCTCTTCCACAGCGTCTCCTCCAAATCCCTAATCGGAACCCTAATCCTCCCGGAAACCCCCTTCTCCGGCAACTCAATCGACCCCTCTCTCACAGACAAGTCCTGCAACATCTACTCCCTCCCAAACCCCCGAAACCCTGAATCCCCAACCCTTCTCGTCTCCTTCCAGTGCCCAATCGCGGCCGAGAGATGCCACGCGGTGGCCAAGCTGCTCACTTCTCATCAGATCGTCCCCCAGAGGGTCCTGATTCTCGACTCGGTCCAGACCCTGAACTTCCGCGGTAAGCTCTCGAGGGACGAGGCGGCGGCGTTCAAGCTGGAGACCACCGCGGAAAGAAAGGCGCCGTCTTTGAAGCTGGAGTATTTCCCGTCGGGCAGCGTCGTGGATGGGCTGGGGGCGGCGCTGTTGGCCGCGTGCGAAATCAAGAACATCAGGGCGGCGCTCTGCATGACATGGCCGCAATTCGGAGCTCCGGTGCTGTCCCTGATCAGGTCCCACATCTTCCGTGCCTTTGATTTGGAATTGAGCATTGATTCTGGTTGCGAGGATTATGTGATTCTAGGGCAAGATAAGGATCACCATCATCCTTCTGATTCTGATTTGTATACTTGACATGTTTCTGGGTTCGTAGAAATTCTGAATTTTCTGCAATGTTGTTGTATTGGTCATTCGAATTTCGTTTTTCTGATATATGGATTTGATAAGATTTAAAAGAGAATTAAGGGATTGAAATAAATAAAACTGTGCGAGACGAGAAAATTATTGTGTAGAAATCATTTCGGGGGAGCTCAAATTTGCCAACAGCTCCCCAAATCTTGTCAATGAGGTAATCCAACTATTCAAGCCTTGCTTTGTTTGCCTTCTGCATGTTTGTTGCTTAAGGCTTGAGATTGTTTGGAAGCGTTTTTAAATAACTGAAAGTGCTTTTAACATAAATAATTTTAGATTCTAAAATATTTCAAGTTATATGCTTCGTGCAGAAAGAATTTTGAATGTTTTTTTAGAATTTACTTGTATTTTTATTAAGAGTTGGTTCTAAAATTATTTTTAGTAGAATCACGATCAATTATTTTAAAATCACTCACAAACAAGCTCAAGTACTAAGATTAATTAACTTATTGAATGTTGATATTTGAGTACAATTTTAGAGAGAGCCTTCTCTATAAACTATGGCATCGCAGACAAATAACACGAAATGAAGCGATATTATTTGAGAAACTTTTTGGGTCTGACAATTCGAGCCTCCTCACCCATCAGCCCAAAACACGCACAAAAGATTTCATGCATTCGGGTCTACCAAAATGAGCTCGTGCGGACCCTAATGCAAAGGATTCTTTTGTGTATGTGTCTTGGACGAACGGTGAAGTGACATAGACAAGCAAACACAAGGATCTCTCCTCCAAAACGCATCGGTTTGATCGGTTTATTGTATTTTAACACGTGAAAGGTGAAACAAATCATATACTAATCATGCACTTAATCACATAGATTAAGAAATAATCGAGAGAATGCATTCTTGTGTGTGAAGAAACATTGACAAGGATGGCGTGCAGCTCGATCACTAATCCGAGTTCTTTGCCCGAACAAATTGAAATCCGATTTTTCCAACCAAACATTACTACAAAAAGATGAATAATTAAGAAAAGAGTACATACTTCACCGTTTAACCTAATCCACCGATGAACAAGTCCACGCCATATTCGAACCTTTTGTACAACAGATTTACATGCTGGACCTTTTTCTTTTTCCAGAAGATAGTAAGCAAGAAGCCTCAACCAGTAACAAAACTTTTATGACACGGATATACTGCAGTAGCGTCCCATATTAATAAAGATATGTGTAATTTTTTCTATGTAGAATTGTACTATTAGCACAGGATATCACGATAACAGTTAGCCGGTGTTATGTGAGTTGATCTCTTCAAGCGGTCTAATTTACTGTTAAATCAAGAGTTATGTAAAAGATAAAAGGGTAAACGTTAGCTGTCATTAGGCATTGTTTGTTATAAAAAGTGTACGTCTTTTTAATTCTTTTGATTGGAACTCCTGGTCCGAGAAAAACCCACCAACCGGGCCAAATAGTAGTTGCATCCAAAATTGACTCGTCTTTGTCCCAAATACTCAAACTCCCCAAGCAAATTGCTATGCAGACATTGTCATGCACTTTTCACTTATATATATATCTCTCAGTCCCAACCATCTCTCCCACTCTTACCAATCCTCCAAGAAAACCCTCGATCGCAACCGAAAATGGCTCCTTCCCTTGGCTTCCGACCCTTCGTTGTGCAACTTTTGCTGCTAGTTTTCTCTGTTTTGAGCACCGGCTTGCGCGCAGGTGACCCTCCGTTAACGTTGGACTACTACAAATCTGCATGTCCGACTGTGTTTGACATTGTGAAGAAAGAAATGGAATGTGCTGTGCTCTCTGATCCTCGTAACGCTGCCTTGGTAGTTCGGTTGCATTTCCACGACTGTTTTGTTCAGGTTCCCATTGTTTATAGTTTCAAGTTTTTGTAGAATTCTTAAAATTTAAGAGAATCCCATTAGAGCTCTTGGATCATGTAAACAGGGATGTGATGGATCGGTTTTGCTAGAGGACACAATCGACCTGACAGGGGAGAAGAAAGCTTTGCCCAACATACACTCTTTAAAAGGTTTCAGACTTGTTGACAGAATCAAGAACCAGCTCGAATCAGAATGCCCAGGAATCGTTTCATGCGCTGATCTTCTCACTATTGCTGCAAGAGATGCTGTGATTCTGGTACAAATTAGAATACAAACCTCTCATATATATGTCTGTAAGGTTTTCTTCAAAAGCGGGGTTCTTACCCTTTCATTCATTGTTCTCGTCGGGTAGCCTGGATTATTCAAACTTGTTACAAGGGGCGAACATACTGCCTTGACCGACTGACTCACTATCTAACCCACATCTGCTTCTTTCATTATTTTTTACTTTGTAAGTTGGCGAACACAGTACCTGCCCTAACCCACACTTGCTTCGTTATTGTTTTATTTTAACTTTGCAGGTTGGTGGACCTTATTGGGATGTTCCTCTAGGAAGAAAAGATTCCATAACTGCTAGCCCTGAACTTGCAGAGGCTAACCTTCCTACTGCAAATGAAGGCCTTCTGAAAATCATCTCCAAATTTCTTTACCAAGGCTTATCAGTCACAGATATGGTGGCTCTTTCAGGTACTCGAAAACCAAAACCAAATTTTATTGTATGTTAACGTCACATGTAACCTTCCTCTCGCACATAAGCCGGACTTGAATGCATGTGACCATCACACCCGTAAACAGTTCAAAACACATGTATATGCGCACGGGCGATTGATGCTAGCTAAACTTTTCTCAATATATACATATCAGGAGCTCACACAATTGGCATGGCGCGGTGTGAGAACGTAAGAGAAAGGATTTATAGCGGCGAATTCGAAGCAAGTTCAGGATTCAATCCGTCGTCCGAGTCGCACCTCAGCGACCTGAGATCGACGTGCCCACTAGTTGGTGGGGACAATAACGTAACCGCCATGGATTACGTGACTCCCGAACTCTTTGATAATTCTTTCTATCAACTACTGCTGAAAGGGGAGGGAGTGCTAAACTCAGATCAGGAAATGTACTCTAGTTTGTTGGGGATCGAAACGGGGGAGATTGTGAAGAAGTATGCAGCCGATCCAATTGCTTTCTTCGAGCAGTTTTCGGAGTCGATGGTGAAGTTGGGAAATATTGTTAACAATGAAAGCTTTGAGAATGGAGAAGTGAGAAAAAATTGCAGGTTTGTCAACACTTGAGAGCTGCAAAAAATGCTGCAACCAGTCCTCACGAGAGAAGCTTCATTTGGAAAACCATATTTTGTTATAATTATACCAAGAAATGATCACAAATTTAAATGTTAATTTATGTTTGAAAGTTAATGAAATAAGAATGTTTTATATCCTCGTTCATAATACCTTGTGCAATGTGAAAGATTGAAAGAGGTTACAAAACAATACTCCTTGAACGCCGGACCGAAAATTTTGAGTTTAATTCACTCACACGATTAGCTGAATGCTTTTGAATTTTAATATGTGGATTTGATGAGTTTAATTCTTATGTGATCATATCTATTAAACTCGCTTCACAACACCAACAACATTTTGAGTCAAACTCAAATAGTTTGACTTTTAATTGATTTTTAATTGTGATTTTCACTTACCATTCTTTCCTTGATTCGATAGTTATAAATAAAGAGTTGTGTGTAAAAAATAAAAAACAACGTTCAGTTCACTTTCTAGCATGGACCACGAGTCACGACATGCTTAATCCAGCAAGCAAAGCTAGGTCGGCTGCTATCATGGGCCTCTACGAACTTTAACTGAGACTGAATAGGCTGAATTTGGTTCACCAGAAAAGCAAAATAGATAGCACTTTTTAGTGATTAATATTTAATGATTAAAAGCAAATTATATCGATCCCAATTAAGTTGGAATTAAATGCAATATAAGGATCCCAATAAATCAGCCAGAAATCTATGTACTGCCGTTGGAGGAGAATTTATAGATTAGATTAAAGGAAAATTGAATTAATAATGCAATGAAATGACTACATTGTTTATGTTAGATATTTACTTAAACACGTGCATATATAAGGCTATGCTAGTACGTAATAGTAAGTACAGAAACACACGGCACATCCTAGGTCCATATTCTACAGGGTACATCCTAAATTTGATTTATGACGCTAATAAATCATACAATTATGGCTAAGAGAGGTTAAAATGCTTCTATAAGTATTTTCGACCCATACAATACCCTTTCAACTTTCAATTTTGATTGTGGAGAGAGAGAGTGGAAGCTGGGAAGTTGGTGCAGGGATTTAGTTTCTTAATTTGTTCTTGAATTCTTTCAACTTTTTAATTTTCTTTTCTTCTAATCAAGATGGATCAAATTTACTAAATTGTCCTCATATTAGTTCATGTACTTGGCACCATGACTTGAGTTAATGACAATATGGATGGTAACTGACCGAGGTGATACATTTGCACCAACCATGAAATTATGGTGGTATATTCTCAAAACATAAAGTTTGGGTAGTAATTGCGCACAGATTTAATAGTTCAAGTGGTACTTGTACAAAATGGAATAATTATCTTCCCTCTCCTCTCCCTCCTCTCCTCTCCCTCCTCTCCCTCCTCTCCTTCCTCTTATTTAAACAGTCACGATTAAGTTATGTCAATATTTTTTATTAATTTTTTATTAAAAAAATAATAAAAAACATGAGAGATGGAGAAGAAATGAGCAGGGAGAGAATCATATTCCATACAAAATCCGCAAAACAAAATTATGAGTCAGTGTTGAACTAAAAAAAGGACCTTGTCAACATGAGGAGTAGGATTCTTTCCCTTCTTTTTTCCCTTCTCCTTCCTTCCCCTCCTATTTGAACTGACACGGTTAAGCTACATAAACATCTTATATTAATTTTATATATAAAGAGAAAGATAAAATAAAGAATGTGAGAAAAATGGAGAGAATGAGATGGAAAAATGAGGGGAGTGAATCTTAATCAATGCGCAGAAGCAACTTGTCAAAATGGGCACAGGAGCAACTTGTAAAATGAGGAAAACGTCATTTTCTAATTCGATCCAACCCGTTTAGGGGGCTTGAGGTTTTATTATACATTAATGCATATCTAGAAGCTAGACTCAGGCAAGGGTTCATTTTTCCATATTTAAACAAAGATAAATTTGGCAATTCATCGTGACGTGTGCACTCTTCTTCTTGCATTTAGGTTTGAATATTTTCTCATAAATAAAATAATTTAGAATATCATTTAACAAAAAGTAATATTTAGTTTCGTAAAATGTTTTTTTCTTCATGTAGTGCAAAATGACATTTTTTAAGCGTTAATATTAACTTTGTTAAAAAATACTTGCACTCTTTATAACTTTCAATGAGAAATGTTAAGCAAAGTATCTAAAAGAGATTCTCTATGAGCTATCTGTTATCTTCTTATATTTTTGACATAATATTTTATAATATTAATACGAAAATTAAAATTAAACTGCAAAGTACAGAGAATTTTTAAAGAGTCTTACGTTTGAAAAAAATTTCTTTATCATTTCTCAAATTCAATTTCATGCTTTGAACCTTTCCTGGTAGGACATTTCAAGTCAATCAAATCAATTAACGTATTATATGTGTCGAATAACAAAACTCTTTTGAATCGGTCAAGGAAGAACAAAAGTGAGGACTTTATAAGGTCATTGGTCGTACGTGGTTGACAAAGATTCTTTGTGTATTCAAATCCTATGTCATCCTTAATTGCTCTTTCCCAATTATTCTTTTTTATTTTCTTTGTTTTTCTTATGATTTTCTTCACACGCTTGAAAATTGTTGCTTGTTTCACTTTATTAGGAAAGGGAAAGAAAACATATTGATCGGATGATTTGGTGCGTGCCATTGCCAAAGTGTCCAAAAGACCATATGCCCCCATCCATTACAAACAAGCATCAATTGGTGGCTTCGATCCGCCGGGTCCTTTCTTTTATTTTCTACATCTTTTAGTCAACGACTGAAAAATAAGAATATCTTTTGTCAATTGGAAATTAAATTTAATTAGAGAAGTCTTACTTTTTCGAATATGTTCCAATTCTTTACAATTTGAGTTTTCCGGTACTTTTAGTTTCAAAAACATTCAATGATCTTTTCTTAATTATAATGGTAAGACACATGATAATATTGTAATTAAAGTATTTACATTGCATTATATTTTCCGTATTTAACATATATAACGCGTTATTATTTTCAATATTCAAAAGTAGAAAAGAAGAAAACAAATGTGTTGAAATAATCACTTTTTGAATTCGTCGAGCGAATCGAAACCAACGAATGGTTATGATGGTACCATGTGTGCTAGAGCTAGCCATGTTACGCTAGTACAAAGTTGTTTGATCCATGATGCACGGTATAGCATAATGCCTTGCGGCGGCGCCTCTTCAGCCCTGCTAGGGCCAATGCCCAATTGCCCATCATCCCACTGACAATTATTGAACATATGCAAATTCATTGGGTCCCATTTAACACCTTTTTTCAATGTAAATTTGGAGTTATTTTGGTTGATTAGAATCACTGTCTGAATATCTTAAGTATGATAATATAAGTTGTTGAATATTCAAAAAATAAATTTTAACTACTTATATTATAATATTTGATATATCGAATCATGTTTTTGATTCACGAGAAAATTTCTCGTAAATTTGGAGCCGCACATATAAATATAATCACTTAACTAAAATTCGCATTTACATAATTAGCTGTGGGAATTTGCCAGGAGAGGAGTTTAGTTAGGAATCAAACTAAACTTGTTGCCTAACCAAACATGCTAAATATTACCAAAAATAAAAAAAAACAAACAAACATGCTAAACATGGAACACCAATTGTACACCACACAACCATATGAGCTAAATGAACCTTTGATTCAAATTTGGAAAATGTACATAAAGAAACAAAGTGTTTAATAGGATTGACAGTCATTGTTTATTCCTAAGTTTTAGTTCTTTCTAATTTGGATCAAACATATAAAAAGAAACGGAAAATAACTGTTACTTCGTGTCAAAATGTAGGCTAAAACTAATAGTTTTGGGTTCTTTTGCGTCTAAAAGAAATTTATGTTGAAGAACATAAATTAAATGTCTGTGTTACTAACCTTTTTCCCTCGACTAAGTGAGCTTAAAAACATAAAAAAACAATAGCTATCTCGTGTCCCAATGCATGTTAAACCATATAGCTTTGTGTTATTTTGCCTCCAAATGAAAGCTTGTGTTAAAGAATATAGACTACTTGTTAGTGTTTTTCATGTTTTCTGCCTCAATTGATACAGCCGAAAAAAAAAAAAAAACTACAGATATATCATGCCTCATACAACAGTTTATCTCGTGTCTCAGTGCTTGTTAAAATTGATACAACAATCATATTGTGTCATAGACTCTCAATACATGTTAAAATTGATATTTTTTGTGTCTAGAGAAAAGTTTGTGTTAAAGAATACAAACCGAATGTTAGTGTTATTTACGTTTCTCACTTGATTAACAGAACAAAAAAAAAAAAAACAGAAAATAATAGTTATCTATCTCACTGCATATTAGAACTGATAGTTTTTTGTTCTTTTGCATGTAGAGAAAATTACACCAAATATATTAACGTTAAATCATGTTTCTCTCTTAATTTAAAGCGTGAAAATTTAAGAAACAACATTCACAACACATATCCACAAAAGAGTCCTATCATCACCTAAAGATGTCTTTTCTCCCTGTAAACCTACATAATATTTCCAAATTAAAAGGATAAATAAAAAAATAAGGAATCCTAACCCTTAATGTGGTTTAGGAGGACTTGAATTCTTTGACTACGAGATAAACATCACCAAATTAAAATAAAATAAACGAATACATCCGAATAAATATATAATTTTTTTTTGTAAATATGCAACTGAATTAAAGTATAAAATACCTCGTCTCTCTCTCTCTCTCTCGTCCCACCTCCCATAAACTTCGTCTCTCTCTCTCTCTCTCTTTCTTTCAAGGGAACGCAAAATATCAACGAAACATTAAATACTGCAAAAGCAGAAACCGACCTCGATACGGTGGCCAGGCTCCTTCTGAGTTATTGTTGCTGAGCTCACTTCGACTCATTGCCGCATAACAAGTGAGTCCGTTACTGCTCCCATCACCACAAGCACACACATTGGTTTTGGTTTTGATCCACACCGTCATTGGAATTTTTACTCAACCAAAATTGGGTTCTGCTTGTTTTGCCATTGCAATTTCTGGGTAATCCTTTGGTTTTTGTTTTATGATTCGTGCGCTCGTTTTTAGATCCACGGGGGGTGTCAGAACTCAGAACAGATTCTTGAGCCTGTTTTGTTAAGTGGGTGATCCTTAATTTAAGCTGTTGTGATGGTGGATGTTGTTTGGGTCAAGGTTTTGTCCTGTGTTTTTCAGGAGAGCGCAAAAGAAATGATCTTTGTATTTAAAGTTTGAGTTTTTGCTATGACAGTTTTGTTTGGTGTACTTCTTACAACTCATGTAGTATGCCTTGTTCATTTGCAGTCTACAGTTCCTATGGTTACATCCTACTACAACAAGGAGTGTTGTGGTTGTAGCAAGTTGAACGAAATCTTAGACAAAAGTTTTAGGCGTATTGTTGTCAAATTCTTGATTCTTCTAAGACTCAGTATAGTAATTCTCACTCTGGAGTCTGGAAATAGCTATATGATACAGAAGTTTGTCAGTGCCTTGTTGGTTCATTAATTAGAGGCATTCCATACCCTGAGATCCTTGGAAAGTCGAACCATCTTTGGTTAATGGCGTAGGTTTGGAAAATTGTCTCTTGGTGCAAGTCATATCTGCTAATGCCAAAATATTGCAGTTCCTTAACTTTTGTATGACATTCAAATTTCTTAATTTACATCCAAAATGCCAACACAATCGGCATCCAGGTGTGCGTCCGCACATATGCATGTTACACCTCTTCGAGTAACTAAAAGAAGATGCATGCCATGCATGTTACATCTCTTGGAGTAACTAGAAGAAGACGCATTTTAGTTATGAAGAAGGCTGTGGTGGTGACCTGCAATTTTAATTGTTACGTTTCGCCTCTTAAGCTTGCACAATGCACACTTGCATTCTTTAGTTGTCTCATTTTATGTTTTTGCTGTTTTGTCATTTGTATAACTCTTTACCTTTCCTTTTTCCTTTTGCCTACCAGAGGAACTGAGGAAGCCAGCATAACGGTAATGACTCAAGATATGTCTGGTTCTGATTCACACCAAAGACGGCAAGGCCTTTTAAAAGATCAAGTTCGATTGGTTAAGCGAAGGGATTCTTCTTCTTACGAGATTGTACCGATTCAAAGTTCTTTGTCATTTGAGAAGGGGTTCTTTATAGTAATCCGTGCGTGCCAGTTGTTGGCCCAAAAGAATGACGGAATAATATTAGTAGGAGTTGCGGGTCCTTCTGGGGCTGGAAAGACTATATTTACCGAAAAGATTCTCAACTTTATGCCCAGCGTTGCTGTCATATCAATGGACAACTACAATGATGCCAGTCGAATTGTCGATGGAAACTTTGATGGTAAATCATTCGCTTACTTAGTTTCTCTTGTTATGAAGCTTTAGTATATGTTTTCAGGGAGCACAATAACAGACACGTACTTGTATTAGTTTTCGTAATTGGATCGGCTACGGTGTAATATTTATGCAGTCTAACTGAAAATTATGTAAGGTCCTTACTCATTCTGTGATACATGTTTATATGGTGATGAACTTATGATACTGACTTCGTAGAAATGATTACCTAGCCATGATGAGGACAGCATGAAAATTTTATTGACATCCATCCATATATTAAATTTGAGAACTATTCATAAATCTGCTCAAGTTTGTGTTCCTTGCATGACTGAGGGCTAGTTTTTTCAAGCAGGGGAACAACATGGTGCGCAATGTTTTTGGTTATATAATTAATATATTTTCTTCTTTTTGCTTATATTTTTATATAAAACAGATCCACGCTTGACAGACTACGACACATTGCTCCAGAATGTCAATGATTTAAAAGCAGGGAAGCAGGTTGAGGTTCCAGTTTATGACTTCAAGTCTAGTTCCCGGACAGGATACAGGTTGGATAGATTAGCATATCCTTGGATTTCTTTGACAAAGCTTTTGAATTGTAGAACCCTAGGGAAGATATGGCACCTAAAACTTCAGGAGAACCCTTAGATGTGGATTTGTAACTTTATGTTTTTTTGTTGCAAGTATTTGTATGGTGATTTTCGGAGTGTTTTACTTGTTGGTTATGGATTTAGTGGATTGTGATACTTTTGTGCTTATTGTACATGGGAATCTGAAGGACAAGCATCATTAAGAAGATATCAGTTTTTTCGTTTTGAGAATCGTAGCCTATAGAGACTTTCTATGCTTCCTGTTGAAAACTTGAATTTTTGTTTTGGCCCTTTGTTTCATAAGTCAGATCATTTTTTATGCTTTTTTTTTATGCAACGTTTGGTATTTTTGTTAATTAATAATTTCTAGTTTTTATGGTCTGCAACTTCACCTTTCATGCTTCCTGGGTGCTTGGACAGTACCTTGGTAAAATTATTCATCAAAGAGATTGTAGTTTGTACAAATTTCAATATTTTTTTTGGTGTAGCTTAAATCTTATATTGTAGAATCTACTGGTGACAGGACAGTTGAAGTCCCAAGTTCCCGTATTGTGATCATTGAGGGCATCTATGCTTTGAGTGAAAAGTTGCGACCTTTTCTGGATTTACGAGTATCAGTCACAGGTGGTGTTCACTTCGACCTTGTCAAAAGGGTTTTACGGGATATACAAAGAGCTGGGCAAGAACCAGAAGAAATAATCCATCAAATATCTGAAACTGTACTTTTCTAACCCTCTATATCATTAAGCACTTGATAGGTTGATGCTTTTCCAGAAGTCTGAACTTCTTTTTTGTCTACAGGTATATCCAATGTACAAGGCATTTATTGAGCCAGACCTTCAAACAGCACATATAAAAATTATCAACAAGTTTAACCCGTTTACTGGATTTCAGAGCCCCACTTACATTTTGAAGGTTAATATCTTATCATTTTTCGATTATTGTGTTGCGTTGGTATTAATTTCTAACCTTAAGTCTTTTCATTTTCATTTAAATTGACAATTAAGTGTTACCATTTCTTGTAGTCAGCAAAGAACTTGTCTGCGGATCAAATTAAGGCTGTTTTTTCTGAAGATCTCACAGAAGCCAAGGAGGAGACCTATGATATATACCTTCTACCACCTGGTGAAGATCCCGAATCTTGCCAATCATATCTGAGGATGCGGGATAAAGATGGGAAATATAGTCTAATGTTTGAGGTTTGCCTTTCAAAACTTGTTTCTGTATTTTGTTTTAAATGTGAAAGATTGTATAGGACTTACTGACAATTAAAATTGAATTAGCTAAATTTTCCAAAGAGTCCCAAGCACTTGTGAATTGTGGCCGTGGTAAATGTCTTTGCATGGGCTTACATAATCAGACAATATTTCAGGAATGGGTGACAGATAACCCATTTGTTATATCACCGAGAATAACTTTTGAGGTCAGTGTGCGTCTTCTTGGTGGACTAATGGCCTTGGGCTACACCATTGCAACTATCCTTAAAAGAAGCAGCCATGTATTCTCCAACGATGGTGTATGTGTAAAAATTGATTGGCTAGAGCAACTGAATCGTCGATATATTCAGGTACTGCTATTTTCTGTTTACCGAAGTTAACCTATTAATGCTTAGATGCTTCATGTCTTGTGTATGTGCTTCGATATGGACACTTGCTAATCTTGTTCTCTTTTCTTGATTGCCTGAAGGAATGAATGGTGACACTTGCTAATCTTGTTCTCTTTTCTTGATTGCCTGAAGGAATGAATGGTTATAGGTTGATTAGGTGGCAACCTTATTGTTCGTCTTTTTGTACATTTCCGACCATGTCCATTGAATGGAAACCTTATTGTTCATCTTTTTATTTTTTAAACCCTCATTTGTAGTTATTTTGTAACTCATATTTATCTAATTTGTCTGCTTATTGACAAAAAGGTGCAAGGAAAAGATCGGGTAGTTGTAAGATGTGTTGCTGAGCAGCTTGGCTTGGAAGGTTCATACATTCCTCGTACATACATTGAACAGATTCAACTGGAAAAGCTTGTAAATGAGGTCATGGTATGATAACTACATCTTATCCTCTATGCACCGAGTATCCGGCTATGATAAAGCTCCAAAGTGTATGATGCCTTATCTTTCGTCTATATTCCTGATCTGATCATCTCGCAGGCTTTGCCAGATGATTTGAAGACGAGGCTTAGCCTAGATGAGGATCTTGTTTCAAGCCCCAAAGAAGCACTTTCCAGAGCCACTGCAGATAGAGTTGCCATGAGAAATAAGAATCTCAAGAGGTCTGATCCTTGTAATTCACATCTAGTTTAGTTCTGTGTAAATTGGAATTTAGATGTGTGCAATGCATTTTAGTGAGGGTATAGAAAACCAAATCTGGCCGGTTCCTGCGTTTGAGTCAACTAGCAGTGTTTTCAACTGACATAGTAACTGTTCAGAAGACATCATTAAGCACAAAATCTTCTTTTTTATTTATTTTCAATTCGAAGGTCACTGGTTGCCTTAAGCTGAATTTATTTTGGACAGTGGTATGTCACAGTCCTATACAACCCAACGGGACAAAAGTACATCTAGGCTCACCGGATATTCTTCCAGCAGTCAAAGGTTTGATGAGAGAAACAGAGAGTCATCAACAACGCTAGCAAGCCAGGTAAGAGTAGCGCTTCTTATCTGCTTTAGGCATTTGGAGCCCCAGCAAGTTAATATAATCACTCATCACTGTTGCTTTTTCTTTCTCATTGCTATTGCAGGGAGTAGTGACTCAGCTATCAGAGCAAATGTCTTTGCTGAATGATAGAATGGATGAGTTTACAAATCGAATCGAAGAGCTGAATTCCAAGCTGACCGTGAAGAACTCTCCTAGCCAACAAAACATGGCTCTGCAAGCTGAAAACTGCAATGGCTCTGCTCCCACGTCTTACTTCATTTCTGGCTTAGGCAACGGTTTGTTAACTGGGGCGATAATGCCTAATTCCTCCTCTTCCTCACAGCTGACTAAGGAGTCTTCAGTAATGGAAGAGGTACTTTCGTACTCATATACCTCCTACCGAAATTCAGGCAGTTAATGAAAGTGAGGATTAACAAATAATGACACGCGTTTAAGTAGTAGCAAAGCATATGATCATATTTTTGCCTTCTTGACTAGTTCATTCCCTTCTCATCTTTCCTCCTCATTCTATCAGATGTCAAGCATTGCGAGGGGGCAACGTCAAATCATGCATCAGTTAGACAATCTCAGCAATCTTCTCCGGGACAGCAATGGGGAAAGACCTCGCCCGGTAAAAACTAACAGCAGGAAGAACATCGTAGCTCAACCCGAACCCTTGACGGTTCCTCTTGCAATAACGCTGGCAGTTGGAGTTGTAGGAGTGATCATATACAAGGGTATCCTTACTAGAAACTGATGTTGTTTCAAAATTTTATCAGACTCATCGACTTTCACTTTAATTTGCTCCTCTTTCGGTTCAACCAAGTTCGTTGCAGTTCTACCCTTCTGGTCGGGAGACACTTAACGTATAGAGATGCAGGTGGAAGCAAAAGCAAAAGCTTTCTAGTTCTTATATCTGAGAGTTTGTAGAGAAGGGTGCCTTTGCAATTTTGAAATTTTGCGGGGCTATTTTGAAATTTGCTAGTTCTAACGTATCCAAAGCAGATATGAAAATAGAGAAATTTCACTGTAATCTAATATTGCATTATTTACAATTACTTGCCAACTCGAAGTGGTCATTACTTATAAATAAATCCTTTTTAGCTTTCAAATTCGATTACAATTTGGACTTGTGAAGTCTTTCGTTTTATGGAATTGTTATTGGCATTTTAAAATAAAATATTATGTGCAATTTTGTTTTTAGTATTTATATAAAATAGGTGCACTTAACATTTTGCAAAGTTTTAAACTTTTTGAAGTTTTTATCGCAAATGATTCATGATGCATAAGAAAATCTTCATTTAGTTTTTCGCATTAAAACTCGAAATATGTTATCCCTCACATTGTACTCAAATGTTGTTCATATCATCACTTTCGTCAAAAAATTTGTTTGTTTTAAAAATGATTTCTTTTATGAAAATTGTTATTACTTTAAAATTTTCATTTTACACTTGTGACAAGTGTATTTTTTTCTTTCTAATTATAGAAAGTTTAAAGTGCAAAATGAAATTTTTGGAGTGCTACTAACAATTCCCTTTTTAATTAGGAATTGTTATTAGCACTCTAAAAATCTCATTCTACACTCTTTACAAGTGTATTTTTCTTTCTAATAATAGCAAGTTTAGAATACCAAATAAGATTTTTGAAGTATCGATAACAATTCGTTTTTAATTTTACATTGTTATTTACTTTTTGCCACAAACATGATTAAATGTGAATATGCGAAAAGTTAAAAAAAAAAAAAAAAAAATATTTATCATTTTTCTTTAAATTGTTTCCCAGATGCTGACTTCTAAAACCCAAAAATAAAAAAATAAAAAAAACACGACAAGAAAAACAAAAGAAAATTTGAACAGCAACGGCCAAGTGGCCACGCTGAGAGGAAAGGAAGTCGGAAATGAGAAATGAGGCGTGCTCGAAAGTCTAATCCTTCCCCACAGCCCACAGGTATCTGATACTTCTCCTTTTCTTTACATTCATGTCTTTTCTTGTGTGAATTGCTTTCATTATCTTTCTGTTCCAAAGATCTGATCCGTGATTCAATTGGGTTTGTTTGGATTTTTGAGAATTTTGATTGATGGGTTTTGTTTGGTTTGATGACAATCGACAAGGGAAAAAAAAAAAGCCACAGAAAGTAATGTTCTTTGTCGATTTGCTTTATGAATAATGATTAAATTCACTCTAATGGTGAATTTCTGTAAATTTGAAAGTTGAAATTTTCTTGACTTTTTCCTGTTTTGTTCTTCATAAGCAAATCGAACACATGCCGGAAATTCATGGGTTTTGATCAATTTTTTATCTTCTTGTGGGGTTTTGGAGTTATCAGTGTAATTGTATTGTGGAATTTCAGTTTCTGTGAAGCCCTTCAGCTGCTGATTGGTTTTGTTACATTGCTTTGTAGTCGATTGAGTTGGAATACAGAACAAATGGGCGATTTTTCGGGTTGTGATTCGATAAGCAATTTGCCTCAGGCCATTATAGAGAGCATTCTCACGCGTCTGCCAATAAGAGATGCTGTAAGAACTAGCTGTTTATCAACGAAATGGAGATACAAATGGACTACTATCACTCATCTTTCATTCGACGAAAAATGTGTCACTCTATCAAATGACCGAGCTCTTGTTGAAAAAAGCCTCATACGTTTTATTACTCGGGCACTCTTTCTTCACCAAGGACCCATTCACAAGTTCCAGCTTAAGACTTCATACTTGCAGAGCTGCCCGGATATAGATCAATGGATACTTTTTCTTTCAAGGAATGATATCAAAGAACTGGTTCTTGAGTTGGGGGAAGGTGATTGGTTTAGGGTGCCGTCATGCCTTTTTTATTGTAAAAAATTGACCCGTTTGGAGCTATTTCGCTGCGAGTTGGATCCGCCTCCTGCTTTTAAAGGATTTTTGTGTTTGAAGGGCCTGAATCTTCATCAGGTTTTGGTTACTCCTGATGCAATTGAAAGTCTTATTTCCAGTTGCCCGCTACTTGAGAGTCTGGCTTTGTCATACTCTGATAGCTTAGCTCTAAACATCCGCGCTCCAAATCTCAGATACTTGTGTCTTGAAGGCGAATTTAAGGATATCTGTCTTGAAAATACGCCGCTTTTGGTTGCCATATCTGTTGCCATGTATATGACTGATGACATTGCTGAGCACTTTGAGCAAAGTTCAAATTGCAATTTTGTCAAGTTTCTTGGTGGCATTCCACTTCTTGAGAGGCTTGTTGGGCATATCTACTTTACAAAGGTAACATTATCAGATGCTTCCGTTTTGTTAATTCTTCCTTTCTTTTAATCTCGAGTAGCAGTAGCACATATATGTTTCTGACTTTGATACATTCTTTCGTTTATTTTCCGTGTTTCAAGTATTTGAGTATAGGTAATGACCTAGGAATTCTTCCAATTACTTACAACCGTTTAAAGATTATCGAATTATATCAAGTAAGTTTCGAAGATATGAAAGAGATACTAGTTGTTCTTCGCTTGATTACGAGCGCTCCCAACTTAAAGGAACTTCAAATCTCGGTAAGTTATTGTGAACATGTTGAAGGGTTACCCTCTTTCTTCTTTTGTTGGACATTCTATTGTTTAGTTTTACATTTCTGTTAATTGTGATAACTGCCACCATAGGGATCTTCAAATACTTTAGCAGCAATAGAAGCGACCGACTTGGATTTCTGGGAGAAACAATGCCCTTCCGACTGCACATTCCGAAGGCTTAAAGTTGTGAAGATGACAGATATGTCCGGAGTGCCACACGAGATGGAATTCATGAAATTTCTGTTGAAGAAATCACCCGTGCTTGAGATGATGAGCGTTACGCCTTGCGCGTATGTTTTGGAAGGACGGTTGAATATGTTGATTGAGTTGGCGAGGTTTAAACGGGCATCTCCGGAAGCAGAAGTTATCTTCATCCAAGATTAGGTTGGAGTCTAATTGTTTGTCTGAGAGAGCTGGCCTTTGCCTTTCAATTGGGTTTTGTTGTTCTCTTAAGAGGTGACAGTTTGTTAGCAATTGTCTACAAAGTCCCGTTCAATCATATAATATAAACAAAAAGAATAATGACATAGTTTGCATTTAATATGCGTTGAAAACTCGATCTCGATTTGAAGAGATTTTCAGTGTGCCAGAAAGTAGTTGGTTTATGTTTAGCTACGCTCCCTGTACTGTAGTTATTACTCCCTACAGTGTGTCTATTCCCACCCCTGTAATCATCCTCCGTGGGGATATCCCATTCCGTCCACTAGGTTAAGAGAGACGTTAATTTCGCTTAAGTGCTAAATGTCTCTCTGGTCTTTTCAACCATGAATGTAGAAACACAATAAGAGATCCAGGAAAACAGAACACGCAACAGTATTCTTCCATATCAGATTTCTCAAGAAATCAAGAAAAACAATCAAAGTTCAATCCAAAGGACATTAATCCTAATGGGAAGTTCTCTTTAAATCCATTTCACTCGAGACGAGTCGAAAACAAGGTATATAACACTCGGTCAATTTACATGTCAGTTTTTCATTTTAGATTTCTATACATGTCGAAATTAACGAGAGATTCTCTCCTGTAATCAAGACAATCTTGGTGACATCACCCGTCCAACAGATGCTTGTCATAGTGTCTTTGGTTACACGAGAGTTTCTCTCCAACTTAACACAACTCTTTGGAGGTTCAACATGACAAAACATTATGATGCTATATACAAACAAACCTCAACTCTGACTCATATTCTTCATTCTTTACTATCAACTTGACAGTTTCTCTAAATACTTGGAGAGTAGTATTATCTTGGTCCAGACAGCTCCATTGCTTGTGCAAGCAATGAAGAGTCATCGGTAAGATCAGAGTACCGTTCGGAGGAGGAAAACTCATTGGCTCTGCACCTATTCGATTCAGCTCTCTGAGAAGCCTCCCATTTCTCCGCGAGCCCATCTCCTTCGAGCATTCGAACCACCTCAGACATCTTCGGTCTCTGGCTTGGAAGATTTTGAGTGCACAAGAGAGCTACTTGAATCATTTCTTCGAGCTCGATTGCATCATAGTCATATTTCAGTTCCTTGTCAACTAGCACATCAAACTTCTTTTCCTGCTGGATTTTCTTCACCTGGAGTAAAAATTCTTAAGTTAGGTAACAAATGCAAGCATTTGATTTGGTTAAAAAAATGCAATGAAAACATCTCTGCTTTGCTCACCCAATCAAGTATGGCTCCTTTCTGGTTTGCTGCTTTCCCAAACTCAAGAGCTCTTTGGCCAGATATTAGTTCAAGTATAAGGATACCAAACCCGAAAACATCAGTCTTCTCAGAGGACTGGCCTGTTGAGAGGTACTCCGGGGCAATGTGCCCTACAGTGCCCCTCACAGCTGTTGTAATGTGTGAATCATGGTGATCCAACAGCTTTGCCAACCCAAAATCACCCACAACAGCCTCATAGTAATCATCTAGCAGAATATTCGCAGCCTTAACATCGCGGTGAATGATCTTGGGGTCACACTGCTCATGCAAGTACAATAGACCCCTTCCAGCTCCCAATGCAATTCTTTTCCTTGTATTCCAATCCAGGGCCGGCTTGGCTGCGATGTTGGAAGTAAATTATGAATGTTAACTCTAATTTAAACTCAATCAGGTTAGACTGCATAATTGCAGAATAGAGGGAAGGCTTGTTTGTTACCCTTGAGACGCGAAGCAACACTTCCGTTAGACATGTAAGGATAAACCAAAAGCCTTTCTTTGGCTGTCATGCAAAAACCATAAAGCCGCAGGAGGTTCCTGTGCACGGCTAGGCTGATCATCTCAAGTTCGGTCTGAAATTGGGTTTCACCACCTATGGCATTCGCGTCTTTGAGCCTTTTGACCGCTATCACCGTACCATCTCGGAGGCATCCTTTGTAGACATTTCCAAAACCTCCCTTGCCAACCAAGTTTTTGCTGCTGAAGTTGTGTGTTGCTGCTTGAAGTTCTCTGAAGTGAAACGATCTCAGGTTTCCAAGGCAAACTTCTTCGTGATGTTGTTCTGAAATTTATAATTAGTGTCAGTAAAGACAGCTTGTTTCACTTTATTTGATTAAATCAGTTGCTTTTATATACTAACCGGTAACATCTAAGAATATTTGCTTGTTGTGTTTCTGCCTCCACCAATGAAGGAAACCAAAACCGAGGATTAGAAGGCAGATACAGCCTAGGCTCGAGGCAAACGCTAAGGCGATTTTGTGACTCCTAGGTCTCCCGGCAGGCTGAGAATCTTGACACATCAAGAAAAGCACATTAGGGTTTTTGCAACAAGTTTTTGAATCATGAAGATCATAATTTGCAAGAGAACAACATGAACAAAGCAGATTTTGAATTTCAAAAACCTTAAAGCCGACAATGATGGCACATAAACTATATTTTGAGAAATTAAAAGCAGATGCATCATTGAGCACAACTTAAAAGTACAAAACTTCAAACTTTGAACAGTACAAGAAACCATGACCAAGCAGAAACTATGATTACATGTTGAATTATTCAAGGCCAAAGATTGCGGCGTTCGTGTTGTTCCGAAGCAGTCTTGCTCCTTTCCAGTGGCACATATCAAAGGGTTTCCCACAACACTGTCAATTCAAAAACTAACTACATAAGTTTGAGTTGTTCATCTTCTGTTACGAAATTGAAAAATGGGAGAAATACATTAAAAAAACTTGGGAGGAAAAAAAACAAAACCGAAATAACTCACTTGAATGTTCTAGCAGGAAACCTTGGGACCGGACCACTCAAATTATTATATGACATGTCCCTAAACCATTGAAGAAAATCCACAGAAACCTTATTCAGATCATGTTTGAACAGGATTAACAGACAGTATAACAAATTTCGTAAGTGTAAAGTTGGGAGAGAATTACAGAAACGCCAGCTGAGTCATGTTAGCAAATGAGGAAGGAATTGCCCCAGAGAGAGTGTTATTGTTTAGCCGCCTGCGTGCAACACAAATTCCAAACCCTGTGACTAATGTTTTCGGTTCTTAAGGCACCGTTTGATAACCATTTCGTGACGAGAATTTCAGTTTTGGAAAAGCAAGAATTTCTGAAGTCAACTCACAGGTATTGTAGGCTTTTCAGGTGTGATAGAGTGCTGGGAATTTCTCCATTGAACAAGTTGCTGGAGAGATCAAGTGTTTGAAGCTTTTGCAGCCTCCCAAGCTCGGCCGGGATTGTTCCTGTTATATGATTATCTTGAAATGTACTGCAAAACACCTCATTAATTACTAAAACATGATTTAACATTTGTAGTTACTGCAACAATAATTGGTCACTCAGTACTCACACAAGCTGGAGATTTGTCAAGTTTCCAATGCATGGCGACAAAGTGCCTGATAAATTCTGGCTTGGAGTTCCCCTGCACAAAAACAATTTCTACAGGTTAAAATATTATTCTTTTTAAATAAATATAAGAAAATTATTGCATGGTGTTTTATTCAAATTTCCAATTAGTATTTTTGGTGTTTTTGAGCAAATATTACTTACAGTCCAATGACTAAACCATCAGGAGAACAAGTAACCATATTCCAGATGCAGGGATCAACAGAAGTCTCGTCCCAATTTCGAAGAACGCCGCGAGGATCCTCGAGAGCTCCTTTAATGCCCACCAATGCTTGCACTGCAAAAAATTGTTTGCATATAGTAAGAGACTACTCTCTGTCCTGGTTTTTCAATATCGCTGAAGTAGATTAAGGTAGTTTAAAATATCGTTACGTCCAAAAAAATATGTAGAACTCAGTTACCTTCATAGTTAACACCCTTTGGAGAAAGCAAACCAGTTGCACAATTCCACAAGCAGAAAAAGGCCACAAAACACAAAGCTTTACCTCCATTCCTAATTTCCATTGATTTGAATCACCAACAACGAACAAAACCCAACACGAAGAAGCAAAAATGGAGCTGGAGAACAAGCAGTTTGAAAACTTGCAGAAAACCAAAAATCTCCAACTTGGGTTTTTAGCTTTTTATCCAAAAAACTTGAAAGTTTCAAGCTTTTGTTTTGTTTGCAAGGAGTATGATGATTTTGCCTTGGAGGAAAATCCAGGGAATTGCACTCACTCACTTACTGACTCATAGTCTACTAGCAGACCCAAGAGCCAAGAAAGAAGCAGGGTTTTGTTTGGCTGGAAAAAAGCACTTAAAGGAGAAGAAGCATGCCTGGCATGCTGCCACTGCCTCAGTAAAGAAAAAAAGTAAAGGAGGGAGGGGGGGAGAGAGAGAGAGAGAGGGAGGGAGCGAGAGGGGGGGGGGATAGAGAGAATATAAAATGTAAAGCAAACTCAGTCACTAGATAATTGCAAAAGATGATTGGAAATCCAAAGAAAATTCCTTCGGTCATGTATTGGGCTAAAGAAAAACTACATGCATATTTTTATGTATTTATTAGTTATTCCCTTCGATTATAATATGTAAAGCAAGTGAATTATTACCTGTTAAGCACTGTAAACGTTATAATTAAGACTAATAGTGGTCAGCTTTGAGAGAGAGATGATATTCTGAGCTTCCATAGCGGCCTCCTGGGAATCAAACATTCCATTAAGTTGGCCATTTATTGATTCTCAAATTCCATCTCATATTTTTCTAATGAATTATAATATAAAAAGAAAGTTGAGCATGTAGTGAAGGGATCCCGAACCTCTACGTCATTTTCTCAGTTAATTATGGTTCGTTTGAGAAATATTTTTAAATGACTGAAACCGTTTTTAGATAAAAAATGAGGTTTGAAAAGCATTTGAAGTACTTCTTGTAAGAAACATCAATTTCAAGAAGCACTTCAAGGTTTTTTTTAGAATTAGCTTACATTTTTACAAAATATTAATTTCAAAAATATTTTTTCTAAATGTATTTTCAGTCATTTAAAAACACTTTCTAAACAAGCTTTATATGTTTAGTTTTAAGTATTTAACTTTACCAAAATAAAATCAAACCGTCTAATCTATCAAGAAAAAGACTATCATCAAATCAAGTTTTCGGTTTCTAATTTTTATCAACAAACCATCAGACTTGTAATTCATCTTGGACAATACTTGGATCGAAACCAATAAAAGTTCAATAAAAACAGATTTAATAGGCGT